TTTGAGCGTTCTGTTGTTGGTGTCCCATTGGGATTGGGGGTTCTATTGGGGTGTCCATGTGGGGACGCCCCTCAGGTGCCCCCACGGTGCCCCCAGGTTCCGACTCGTTCCCTGAGCGCCCCTCCCCGCGGAAGGGCAACACGCTGTATGTGCACGGAGCAGAGCTGAGCCCCGAGCTGCTGCGCAGCGCCTTCGCGCCCTTCGGAGCCATCATCGACCTCTCATTGGACAGCCCGCGCAAGTGGGCGGGGCCACGGGCAGGGGGCGGGGCCGGTGGGAGGGCGTGGTCATGGAGTCGATGGTGGGGTGGGGTTACGGGGTTGGGTGGGGCCGGAGCTAAGGGCGTGTGGATGTGGTCATGGGTGGGCCTAAGGGAGGGCTGAGGAGTGGAGGGGGTGGGATGGGCAGAGGGTCTGAGGGCGTGGTCATTGATTTGTGGGTGCATCTGTTGGGGGGTGGTGCTGAACGGGGTGAGGCTGTTGGGGTGGAGCTGTGCTGACTTCACCCCCGCTGCAGCTGCGCCTTTGTCACCTACGAGAAGATGGAATCAGCTGACCAGGCCATGGCCGAGGTGGGTGCTGCTGTGTGGGAGCTGTGGGGGGATACATGGGGTGCTCCCAAGTGCTGACCCCCTGTCCCCCCCCACAGCTGAACGGTGCCGTGGTGCAGGACGTGCAGCTCCGTGTCAGCATCGCCCGCAAACAGCCACTGCTCGATGCTGCCACCGGGAAATCGCTGTGGGGATCCTTGGGTGAGCTGGGGGGGCACTGGGAGACACAGGGACAGTGTGGGGGTGCCAGCAGTGCTGAGTCCCTGCCCCCATCTTGTGCCCCCACAGCGGTGAAGAACAGTGCGAAGGGCTCACACCGTGACAAGCGGGCGCAGGTGGTGTACAATGAGGACCTCTTCGGGGGGCAATAAAGGTTTACTGCACACAGCAATGGTGTGACAGGGTGAGAATGGGGATGGGGGACTGCAGGACGCAGGTGGTTGTGATGGGAGAGGCTGAGTGGTGATCAGCTGTGACCCACCCATAACTCAACTGCCAGCCTCACCTGGCTGTGGTCCTGAGCATGCTGGGCTGCCTGGCACTGCTCTCAGCAGCACAGCTCTGTGAATTCCTCCCGGCCCCCACAGTTCCATTGTTTCTCTCAGAGAGATTCACACTGCACAGAATGTGACACAGCCAACAGCAGCTGAAGGCTTTAGAACCAAATAAGTGAGAGAAGGTGCTGCTAGAGCTCGTTTCTTTCCATGGAGCAATAATGGCAGCACAGCAGCAACCCCAGTGGCAGCAGCACTGCTGGGAAATCAGAAAGTGCTGGGATATTGGATGAGCACCATCCCTGGTTGCCTTCCTGCTCCATCTGAGAGCCGCAGACAGACGTACAGCACTGCTGTCCTGTGCCAGCTTTATTTAAAAACACAGCTGAGAGCTGCTGGCGCAAACAGAGGAGCCTGACTACGTTCATACAATATCTTAAATAGAAGGCAAATATAAAATGAAAAGATAAAATATTTACAGTAACAATAATGGCATTCACAAAGTGGGCAGAATCCCACCCAGAGGCGAAGGCTGACAGCAGAAAAATCACAAAATCTTCTGCTGAATCACAACAGCTGACTGTGGCTTCCTTCAGCCAGCCCAGGGCTGCACTGTGCCCACAGCGCTGCCCTCAGCAGGCCCAGCATGGCTGCACTCTGCTCACGTTGAGCTGAGACATTGCTGTGGGACATCAAAGCACATGTGCTGTCTTACAGAAATAAAGTATTTACAATAAACTCAACGACTGATACTCCTCTGCCCGCAGCAAATACCTGGGGGCCCCTATGGCATCACACCTCACAGTAGGAAAAGCCTAAAGTTCTGCTACAAGTTAAAAAAATAATTCCAAAGTTATCTGCTAGGTAAAACACTGAGCAGAGGCAGGGCACAGCACAGCCATCCCAGATGTCCCTGCAGGGTCACAGCTGCACGTTGCTCCCTGCTGCCCTCTCACACAGCATCCGGTGCTGCAGCAGCTCCAGCCCCAGCACAGGGAGCAGTTCTGGAAGCCAAGAGGCACTGCTACCGATCCTCAACAGCCCCACCTGCTGCGGACCGGAGGAATACAGACTGCTCGCCCCAGCATCCCGTTCTTACCAGAATGCACTGAAAGTACGGTAAAAGAAAAAGGGAGTGAGAGTAATGCAGCTGCAGTGTGCAGCTCCTGCTTCTCACACTGATGCTGTATCACTGCTGAGAACTGGAAGGGAGGGGTGGACCCCTCATCCTTGGTGGCACATTTGGTCCAAAATACCAGAATAATTCTGCTCCCTCCCACCCCTCCACGTCATGAAGTTGCCTTAAAGGATTCAATTCAAAACAAAAGCATACACAAACAAAACGAGCTGGCAGAACTCCAGGCTAGACACAGCAACTGCCCAATAAATTGGAACACCAAAGCTTCCAGCTGCACCCAACGCTGAGCATGGCCAAGGGACGAGGAAGGAAGAATCTTTAGGTTTAAGCCTTCAGAGCATCACTGAATCAGTAGATCAATTCACAGCCACTGCAGCACACAGATGGACATCCTTCTGGGCTGAGTCACAGAACTGCTTTCTCCTCTTGCTGCTGAAAGGAGCCAACCAGGATCAGGGAATGGATGCACAGGACCTCAACTCTGACCAGCAGGAAAACCCAGGACAACGGAATGCAGACTGCCAATTTTTACCAGTTCAACTGTGCTTTAAGACTCATTGTGAAGCCTTCTTCAGAAAAAGTATCACCCTGGGGTATCCAACAAAAAAAAAAAGTTTTAATTTTTTTTATATGCCATAAGACTGTGCAGTTCAACTGTCAATCATCTCAGAAAGTTCAAGAAGGAGGTCATCCTCATCCTTCCCTGGGTCCAAGTCAATTTCTGCTTCCAGTTTCCCTCCTGAGATTTCCCAGATTAGCTTTTCAAAGTCATCTTCAACAGATAAGGGCGCCTTCCCAGCCCCCGTGGAGCTCAGCTGCTGTGCTTTGGCCACTGACTGTGAAGAAGCTGAAGCTGAACTCGAGTCCTCTGACTGCTCCACAGAGTCTGTTTGGCTTCCCAGATGCAGTTCAAGGCTTGGGAGAACAAGGAAGAGAACAATCAGTACACAACATTTTTCAATTGGAGATGCATTTTCTGCTGACCAGCACTTAAAACCAGTTACCCCTCCTACACCTCTAATGTACACAGGGAATGCCAATCGTTAACACAGGAGTGCCTGCAGAGCCCATACACTAACAAGGTTGTTTTTCAGTGTAGGGATTTATCTGTGAGAACACTGAAACTGAGGGCCAGCAAACACAGCTCCACTTCTGTAGCCAGAGATGCTCTGCCACCTTTGCTAGACTGACTGGAAAAACATTAAGTCAATCTCTGCAAATATCTGTTTACTAATTTAGTTCTTTTGCCCACAATGTGCTCAGCAGAGTTTGCTCTCAAGTCCAAGGAGCTGACTTCCATCCATCACCTCTCTCTGCTCTCTCAAAAGATCTTAGTGTTTGTTAGCTGAGGTGGCATTCTTGAGGACCAACACGTGTAGGACAACTCATTTATCACTTCACCTCACACCTCAGCATTCAGATAATCCAAGAACACACTGGAGAGCTGTACCAACTTGCAGCATTTTAAGAAAATCATCTAAATAATCATTTCTGCTAGTTGCTAGAAAATTATTTGAGATGACTTATTCTTTTACTGGATTTTGGCATTCTTTATCTCAACCCCCTTATCTTTCCCACACGTGGAAGAGCTTACGGCTCATGGAAAGACAAACTGTTTAAGAAAAAGAAGCAGCTGTGGTCATCACCTGCTGGGGGGTTTCTCTACGCCAGGCTTGGTGAGCAGGCTGTCCTCTGGCAGGGCTGGAGCAGCAGTCTGGGAAGAAGCAAGACAGAGTCAATGATTCCTCAGGAGATCCTTCCTCCACAGTGCTTCTCCTTCAGCATTGCTGAGCCTTAACCCAACACAGAGCTCCTGAAAGATGTTAACCCCAACGTGAAAGCTACAGAGCACCTCGGGTCTTTTTAATGGCACAGCATTAATGGACAAAGTCCTTCACACCACAGAGGAATCACAGGACTGCAGAGCACTGTGCACACACTGCCATTCATCCAGCATCCCGCACACAGCAACTGCTTTGAAAGAAAACCTGCAGAACGTTTCAGTTCTCCACACTTTCTACAGGAGTTGTATCTCAGTACAAGTTTGACTGACGCCTCCCCCCCTCCTTACCAAAGCTGCTTTTTTAGCTGGAGGCTCCTCAGTTTCAGTGCTACTCAGAGGTTTCACAGCTGCCACAGCAGAGGGAGAGATCTCAGCAGCCTTCCGCTTCAGTGCCCGCTTCGTGGGGGTGCTGCCTTTGCTGTCTGAAGGCTTCACACACACCTTGCACTTTGCTACAGTAAGAGGAAGAGAGCTAGTACAATTGTGCCACGAGAGAGAACCTACAGGCTCTCCTATCATTCCCACAGCCCTTACACACAGTTAAATATATCTGGCCAGTAAAGTTACACTGCTCTTTCTTCAGTTCTCAGCAATATCTTTCACAAAGTAAACACTGCCTACCTACAGTCCAATCAAAGGAACAAAGACACTGCATAGATACACCACATAATAACCCAGGACAAGGGAAGCAGCCATGCAGCAATCCCAGGAGAAAGCAATACTTTTCTTCACTCTATGAAGTCCAACAAAATTCACAAATGTGGACTAATTCCATATTTAAAGTCTTGGTCCCTCTAGAGAAAGGAAAAAGCAGCAGCTACAAACAGACATAAGGGTGGGACCAAACGCTGTGCAAGCCACAACAGAACCAAAAATGCATTCAGCTGCTTATCACGTGTGCAAGTCTGCAGTTGCAGTGCCATTGTGTCTCTCTCCCATTCTCAAGCTTAAGTCTGGCTGGAAGGAACACAAGTGAACCAAGAAAATAAGTATTTCCCCTTCTAGCACTAAGCAATGGCATGCACCCACCGTGAGAACTGTCCTCATATCTCTTTACTTCTGAGGACCACCTCGCACCCAACACTTTAGTTTTCTGTTCCCGAGGTTGGTCTGATGGTTTCCCTGGAAATACAGTCTCCCATCTTCCTGAGATTTTGCCAATGTCTTTGCAAGCTGATAAGCTGACCCTTAAGCCAGGGTGGATTCAGGATTGCTAAACTCTGGACTTTTACCTTTGACTGTTTCTTCAGCAGCAGATGGCACAGCAGCCACTTCCTTCTTCAGCTTGTCTGGCTGTCTCAGTTGTGGCTTCTCCTTTATTGTCCCCTCAAGGCTCTTCACTTGAGCTTTAGAATTTGGTGTACTCTGATCCGAGGGCTAAAAAGAAATAAAGCACAAAATAAGAACACCAGGGAGAATGTATTAAGAAAATCAGATTGGCAATATTTCCAAAATGGCTCCACCTGGAACAGTACATTACTATCACTTGGATCACTGACATTTCTTTCCATAAATGTCTGCCCATAAAAAGATCCATGCTTTGCTATGAAAATACTGTTTCAGAAGTGTGCAATTCACAACAAAGCAAGCTTCTTTAAATCAGCATAATGCTGTAGCTGCTATCTACCACATTCTTTTTGAGCAACAGAAAGCCATTCCTGTTTCCCTACGCAGCATTCACCTGCACGCAGGTTTCATTGAACTCAAAGCCATGGCCTTTTTGTATCCAATGCACTCCTCACTAACCTCACAAGTTGTACCTGGTGCCAGCAGGGTTACTGCCTCATTGCCAGGTACAATCAGATTAACTCAGAGTTTGAGGAGAACAGTGCTGTCTGGAAAAGCTATTGAAAGTGGCAGAATTGAAACTTTGCTGCAGCTCTTCACCAAAGGCACGAAGGTAGGAATGTATTCAGGATGGTGGCACACGGTGAGCAGTAAGACATGACAACATGTTAAGAAATTGTGTCAGTGTCCATCTTCAGAAAGGACTCACCTCTGCAGGTGCAGAGACAGCTTTGGGAGAAGCCCTGCTCAATTCCGCAGTCTTCTTCTCTTCTCTTCCAGGTGCTTTAAAACAAGGAAAAAAAAAACTTGGTCAACAGCAAGCATATAAAGAAACTTGAGTGCCCATGTTTCCTCCATCTGCTCATTTCCTCACATTCAATAACAAGGCACAGAGACAGGCAACAACACAGTTTATACAGCATACAAGCCCTTACCTCCTCCCTGCACTGTCTCTTCACAAAGCCTCTGTCACCTCCCCAGTGAATAACTCACTCCCCTGACCTTTCTGACAGAGGTTGGCCCCCACAATGAGTCAATCCATGCTTTACAAACACATTTACATATTAAGCAACATGTGCCAAAGATGAAGGTAGCCTTGGACTCAACACACAGAAGACTCCACACCAAAAACATGTGGCAGGAAAAAAGTACAAGAGAAATTGAACTATGAAGCCTCACAGCGAGTCAGTTTTTCAGAGGGAAATGCAGGCAGACACCATGGATTTAATAGAAAAATATATGGATGGACATCCCGGCACTTCTTGCCTTTACATTTTGTTATTAAAAAAAAAAAAGCCATGGGAATTCTAAGCAAACTCAATTTGCTTGACAAGGGAAGCAGACAGCAAAGCACCTCGTTACCTGCTAGCTTTGTGATCCGCAACAACTTCCTCCCTGCAGGGGCAGGCCCAGGCTGTGCTGCTGCAGCTGAAACATTTTCCCCACTCTGCTGCATCCGCAGAGCTTTCTCCTGCTTGATTTCTTCCAAGGTTTTAATATGCACTTCTTCCAAAGGCTTGATTTTACGTGCTGGCTCTTCCAATTTCACTTTACCAGGCACAGATGGAGGGAGAATTCTCTGCTTCTTGCGCTCACCCTCAGCTCTCTTCTCAGTAAGCAACTCTTCTCCTTTTTGTTTCTCTTCTTCCAGTCGTTTGTGTTTCCTTTCAGCCAGGGCTTCCGAGAAGGTTTTGATGCGAACTGCAGGGGAAGGCCTCACCCCTGAGCTGGGATCCTCCACCTTACAGCACCCTTCTGCCTGGGGGGCAGCTGGGGTTTCTCCTCGCTGATTAGCTCTCTCAAGACGGATCTCTTCCAGCGTTTTCACGTGGATCTCTCCTGCTGGCTTGGCACCTTTCTCTGTCATCATCAAGCAAGGAGAAGCATAAAGATTAAAAGAGAGTCCAAAGAGCTTACATCCAAAATTTGTCATAATATTACAGAATATGAATGTTCACAACACATCATAGGACAGCTTCACTCTGCAGTTCTCTCCTCTAAGTCACCTGTCCTATTCTGAAAACCAGTCCCTTTTTTCCCCTTTCAAATTAATGTTTAGGGCTCTATGGAAGTGGTCTAAGTTCATTAAAAGGAAAAAGGGGAAAACAGGTGTAATATCTAGTTATTACCCATTTGAGCACTACTCTGTCCCAGTCTCTCCTTCAGAGACTTCATGCCTTGAACTACAGAACAGAACAAACCAGGGATGCTGTGTAAATTCCAGCTCCAGGCTCATGTTTCAAAACAAGGCAGGAAAAATAACTTTAAACTCCAGTGATGAAGCCCTGAGGAAGCGTGCCAAGAAAGCACTCCCAGGAAAGAACAAGCAGAAAGCCTAGAGAATCTGTGCAGCAAACCCAGATGCTCTTTTACCTCTCCTTGGTGCTTTGTCAACCTCGATCTTCTTCCCCAGCCTTTCTGCAAGGCTGCGCTTCAGCGGAAGGCCGCTCACATCAGCTACAGAGAGAAAACAATACTCCTAAGATAATTTCTTGGGTGGAAGATTTTAGAACAGTCAACAACAAACTTCAATTTTCCCAAGTGTATTTTCTTAAATTCACCTTTCAGCTGCCACAATTTTGTATCATTTCTACAGTCACCAGAGATCCAGGACACATTCCTCTCCATACTTCAGCAATGCCCTCTGATGCAGTCATGTTTAGATGGAAGCACCCAAACAACAGCTCACAAGCAGCCCTTACCTACAGAGGCTTTCCGTTTCCCAGGTTTCTCAGCAATATTCAATCGAATCACAGGCTCCTCCCCTAAAACAAAGTACAGTTTGCCTATTTCACAGAACAGTCAACAGAATTACTATCCTGTTAGCTCATTTCCCACAAAAAACCAACAACACCCAAATGACACTGTTTTGACAGCCTTGGCACAAAATAATATTGCAACTGTAATGCACTCAGAACAAGTCTCAGTTGCTTCATTCCTCACTTTAAATTCCTCAGCTTCTTCAATGGCTCCAAAGCTCTTTATGTAGCACCACCTTCTGGGGATCTTTCTTCTAATTTCTGAGTTACTCTGTTCCTGAGTTGGCTCCTGAGCTGCACACTGATAATTACTACACCATTAGCCTGCTGCTGAACTTCACCTGAGCACTAATTCTGTCACTGCTGTCAGCTCATTAGCAAATACCACTCAAGTTCAGGAGCACAGCAGGTATGGGGTCAGCACCTCTGGGAGTTTGCAGGTTAGCAGTAACACACAGCTCACCACGAGGTTCACAGAAGTTGCTTCTTGATCCTTTATTACCACAAAACAGACAGAGCACCTACAAGTGCCAACTTTCCCAACACAACCAGGGACTTTCAGTATAAAAGCATCTTTTGAATACAAAAGAGCAACACCAGCAGACTAACATGGCCAACTACCTTAACTGTTATTTATCCATTCCATTTAGGAGCCATGAAATGGAAACAAAGGTACTCATCATTACCTTGCTTTGCAGACAGCGTCACAGTTCTGACCACTGTCCGCACATTCTCCTTCTCTGGCACAGGAACAGCCCGAGATTGGAGCGGATGAGCAGGAACTCCTGAAGGCCCTTCTGATCAAAGTGAGCAAACAGTGTTTACAAGAAGAGAAAAGACACTGCCAACAACAAAAACAAACCTGACAGAACCATCACAGAGACCAAAACACATTTGTTAATTGTTACTGTCAAATATGCAACAACAGTGCATGTAAATAAGAGGTGAATAATTTGCCTCCAGTTTGCTCTTGGAATTCCCATCTAGAAGAGCAGCTGTCTGGATTTAAAACAACACATTGCAAGCTGAAGTAGCTTGATACCCCCAGCTAAAAATGGAAGCCTATCTTTCGTGCACCTCCCAGCCACCAGCAACTGCTATTCCAATCTCAGCAGTGCAAGAAAAAGGTTCACTTCTGTGAATGGCTCTATTCCCCAATACATCGTCAGCTATCCAGGTATGATCATGAAGGAAAAAAGAAAGGGAAGAAAACAAACAGAAGGATAACAAAGTAGGGCATATTAACTCACCACTTTGTTTTTTTGTTTTTTCCTTTTGTTTCTTCAATTTGATTTCTTCAAGTGTTTTTATTCCAAAATTCAAACTGTCATCTGGGAACACAAAGCAGTTAATGAGACTAAGGGACAGAGGGACATGCTGAGGAGCTCTGCAAACTGCCTTCTGCTCAGAAGCATTCATAAGAAACCCTGTCAGCTCTCCCCACAGGTAAGAGCACCATGGAATTGATGTCTATCTGCTGCCCTCCCTTCATCCTTCTGGATATAAAAAGCAGGCTTTATCCATTATTTTAACCCATCTACACGACATTAGATTTCTCTATCAGCAGACATGGCTTTCACCAGTGGTTGAAAAGATGCATGTACAGGCACTTAAACTTCATGCTGTGGCCTTGTCTTGCTCTAATGAAGTAAACAAAGGTGTTTACCTTTCTAATCTAAAAGGCACATGAAATTATGATGTAGGAACAAGATCATGGAAATAGCTGAGTCCATTCAGCAACCCTATATTCTTTCTGTTGTGCTCACACAATAAATTGCTTTGGAGTTTATTGGCAAGTTCTTCTGATTCATCCTACCACAGGTGCCAGAATACCTTGTTTTGTATCAGCATTAGATTTTCTAGTGGAAACTATCCGCAATCCGTTATGGTTTTCTTCAGCTGGTTGCTGGACAGGTGTTTTTGTTTCTTCTCCCTCCTCAGAAAGCTGGTCTGTGCAGGGAAAAAAGTCAGCCTCTTCAGTTATACAGTAGGAATTCAATCAGATTTCTAACGTTTCTGTAGCTCATACAATGACACTTCAGCCCACAGTTAATATTCTTAAGTACAAATATAAATTATTATAGAAGGGCTCCTTATTTAAACAGCTACACTGACCATAGAAGCAGCCTAAGCAAATAGAGTAACTAGTGGAGAACTGGAAAAGCATTTAGGGCTCCAGACTCTCTACATGGCTTTAACCAGTGCATACTCGGTTACTCTTCTGACAGAACAGAGAAAACTCTCCCCTGGCTTAAGGCAGAGATCCACACCACAGACCAGCAGCAGCAGGAGTGGCTCTGAGCTTCCCTCCTGCATTATAATTTCTGCTCACTGCTGCCAGGCACACCCCAGTGAGCTGGCCAGGCTGCTGCTCCATCCTCATCAGCCTGCAGGTGTTCTACGAGTCACAGAACACAAATGCCTTCAAGATCAAAAGCAGCAGCAACCACACTCACCATCATCATCTTCATCATCATCTGCAGCATTGATTACAACTGGAGGATGCGTAGGGCTTGGGACATTTTCTGAGTTTTCCACTTTCATCACTCCCCTCAACTGTGGAGAGGGATTGGACTGCACAGAAAGCTTGCTCTGCTGCAGCGTTATCTGAGCTGCCTTCAGATCATCATCTGCAGACTCCGGTGGACTTGGCAGCGTAGCTACAGGAAGGAGAGGATCATCAGGAATTTAAAACTGACCCCAACCTTACAACCACTGCACAAAGACGGCAGGCAAGTCAGACAACCCGCACAGATAAGAGCTGAGCCTCCAGTTGCACATCCAATCACTGGCTACTCTGTGAATAAAGAATCCTCCCCCCAACACATTCAACATTCACCTCCCTACCATCAGTAAAAGCTTAAATGCAGGAAAACCACCTGCAAGGGAACACCACAGGAGCAGAGAGAAGCTGAGAAAAAACTGAAATGTCAGAAGCACACACAGTTCAGCTGTGCACCTATCAGTGCACTTCTTCCTGCATTCACAAATGAATGTTACCTGGCATCCTTCACAACACCGCACCCGCCCATGAGTAATAATCAGAGTTAATCTTTCATACTTAGAAAGGACAAACTCACTTTTGCTTGGTGGTAAGAAGAGCCCATCGACATAACGACCCTTGGTGTGATGAAAGGCACAGTTGGATTTCTGGCAGCCTCCCGGCTGGTTCTCCCAGAAGCAGGGAATCTCACTGCGCTTTTTCTGAAGATAAAAAGGAACAAAAGCTGATGGTAATGTGAACCTGAGGTTTGTAGAGTGAGACTGAGCTCCAGATCATGCCACTGAGCAGACTGTCACAAAGCAGCAGTCAAACACCACTCTGAAGAGTGCACAGGCTGTGAGCACCAGGCTCACTGAGCTCCTAGTATTCCATGGGAGAGGACACCAGTTTAGAAGGGGCTAAACAAACACACCTTGCAGAATGCCTGTCTGATTGATGTGGTTCTTTAGCATCTGTTGAGAGAATACTGTTGGTGTCTACTACAAGAATTTCCTGCTAAGATATACCAAAGACATTGAATTCTCTTCCCTCTACTTCTTCCCAGCCCCCTCTTAACAATATGAACCACCATCATTTCAAAGCAAATGAATCTAATCTGCAGAAGCCCATTCAGCCCACCTAAAGCAATGAGAAGTGGTTTTGGTTTTGAATTCTGAGGAGCCAACACTCACATCGATCTCCATGTGCCTGAACCTGCAGACATTCCTGAAGCAGCGGCCCTCCTTCCACAACGTGCAGATGGTTTCATTGCCCAGAGCAGCTTCGCAGTGCCGGAAGGGACAGCTGTCTCCCTGTAACCCAATGGAAACAAAGAGAGGAAAATGAAAAAGTACAGCCTGAGAACTGGCCATGCTTTTAGCTCACTGTTAAGCTGAATGCAAAATGCAATTAGTTATTAAGTTTGCCAAAGATTGTAATGCCTCTACCTACTCCACTCCGTCCTCTTAAGAACTAAAAGAAAGAAAAACGAAGGAAAAGAAACCCAAGCAGACCTTGTTACAGGTGGAATAGAAGTAGAAATAGCAATCATCTCCTTGCTTCGACATGCTGGACGAGCTCTCAGAAGCAGCTCTGGTCTCAAGGATCTCTGTGCAGGTCTTCCTGTGCTCTCTCAAAGAGCTGGCTCGTGCTTCCTTGGACTGAATGTCTTCTACTGCCTGGATCAGTGAAATCTTCTTTTTAAAAGGAACCCTAAGCAAAATACCAACAAGTGGAAAATAATGAGGAATACACATCTTTCCAGCTTCCTTCTGTTCATTAAGTTAGTCTCTCAGAAGCAGCTGTTTCAAAATACTGCCCTCCTCAACACTGGTCAAACTGCAGTACCACCGCCCTGACTCAGCACAGAGCCCCTGGAGTGCACAACTACAAGCCCACAAACAGAGCCCCTCCTTCAACACCATGAGTGTCAGTCAGTCAGTAACCCCCAACACATCTGTCTGACCGCTCAGATCTTCAAGCTCACCCACCTGGACAACCTCAGCAAAGACAGCGATCTTCAAAGCCTTCCAGTTAACTTCTCCTGTAGGCCGAACCAACACTGAATCCGTGAATTAATAATAAAGGGGTAGAAAGAATTTTCCTCCTCACTTTGCCAAGGGAACCTCTCATCCACAAGTCAAACACGGGATGTGCTTTTAAACATCTTACAACTAATGGAGGAAGCGAGTCCATTGGAATGCTCTCAGAGCGGAGGCAGCCAGGGTTAGTGAGCTCTTCGAGGAAAAAAAAAAAAGGAAAAAAGGGAAAAAAAAAAAAGAAAAAACCCAGTGCACTTAAAGGCGAACTCGTGACTCAAAGCGGCTGCAAAAATGAGGCTCCGTCTTCCACAGCCGGACAATTTTTTTTTTTTTTTTTTAATTATATTATATTTTTAAAATTTAAAATTCTGTAAGTTGGAATTTCTGGTCTTCAAGATTTCTTCACCTATTAAGAAAACACAAAAACCTTCCCCCGTCTTTATTACCTGTACAGCAAAAGCATGCCAGTGCGTATCAATACACAAATACACACCAGGTGTGAGCGATAGTGAACTCAGCAAGAGCAGCAGTAACAGCAGGGATTTGGGGCTGTTTGCTCCCCTCATCCGGAGGGAACCAGCCATAAACAGAGGAGCTGCACCACGGCTGGTGGGAAAAGCCTTTGGGACTGATGGTGTGCAACAGAGCAGCGTTGGGGACAGCACACAAACACAGGTACATGCACATGGTGTAAAGGGGTCTGTGCACACAGGGGTGCACGCTGTGTGCTCCATACAGGGAGCAGCCTCTGGCCCTGCACAGACACTGGGGCTGCAGGCAGCGAGCAGCAGACAGCAGGCTGAGGGAACAGCAAGCGGCGAGGCGGGGAAGGCTCACTTTGCGAACGGCATGGCTGCACGATACAGAGCATCTTCAATCGGTTTGGGGTTTGTAAGGAATTGGTTCTCAGACCGTAGCAGTGCTACAGGTTTGCCAGCACGTGCTGCTCCCTCACCGCGCAGCCATCGCTCACATCGCCGCGCAGCGACAGCGCTGGAAAAGCAGCTCGGCTGCATGGAGCTGCAGCACGTTCTGCTCAGCCACAAGAAGGGTTTGGGTTGTTTTTGGTTTTTTTGTTTTGTTTTCTGATGTGAAATCAAATACTTTGATATTCTACTTGTTTTAAAGATATTAAATGCCGTAAAACCTGCAACCAGGCCAGACAGAAGTTCAAATTAAAGTGATTCTGAACTCTTTCATTAAAGTGCTGCACATTTCTGTGCAAAGGATTTCCGACAATCAATAAGGAAAGGTTGGAACCTTTTACTCACACAAACACTAGGGAATTTTCCAGGAAATATTTTTTTGGCAGGGAATTTTCCCAAATCTAAAATAAAGAGAGGAGAAGTCGAGTTCTCACATTAGTTGCTGGCTTGACTGCATGACAAAGGGAATAAAAACAGCAGTTAAGGGCAAAGATTCCTTCTCCAGTACTGACAGCAATGCTCCCTTTTGACCTTTAGCACCTCCACAACCAGATTCATCTCATGCAGATTCCTATACGCACCTGCTCCTAACAACCTCAGTGCTGCCCAGCACGGAGCTGGGCACAAACACATCTCTGGATTCTGCTCTGAGGAACGCCCACCCAGCTCAGCACTGCACTCATTGCCTTCAGTTCTGCTCGCAATTGGAAGGGATCTGGACTCAGAAGCAGGAAGAAAACACAACTAGAAATATCCCACAGCCCTCCGCTCCCTGCAATTTTAAAACAGGATAACCCCAAACATCTCTTAGCACAGCAGACCAAACGCTAACCAAGGACTGAGCCCTGGGAGCCTGTGCACAGCGAGTAACTCTGGAGCACTCAGCACTTCTCTCAGCAGTTTGCTTCCCGTTTTTAAATACTTCCTTTCTCCTCCAGAATGCCAGTCAAGTTTTTGTATCAAGAGATTTCAAGTCTGTTCTGTACAAAAGGATTCCAGCTACACAGCAGCTGGGACTCAGTGCACACAAACACACACACAGACAACAGCACTGCCCTGAGCCCAGCCCTTGCCAAAAGAAGACAGGTAGTATAAAGGGAGCATCTCGTTTCTTTTGCATCTTGCCTTCCTGAGCACCAAACAACACCATCTATTCCCCGCTCTTGCTTTCTAGTTTGCTGTCCTGCAGAAAACAGCAAGAAGGGAAGAGGATTTTTTTGTGCTTCAACTAAAATGTTAGAGGAAGATGACCACATTTACCCAGCTGTATTTGTTGCTGTTTATCTACAGCATGAAGTATTTCACTTGGAAAGTCTCTGCTGCCACTCACCCTCCAGCAGACTTAAAGCACAGCTCTTGGCACCTCGCAGTGCTGTGAGGGGCAGGAAAGGCAGCACACCATTGTGCTGAGGGCCAAAGAGAAGGGTCAGACAACAGAAGCGTTTGTTTGTCTGAATTTCTGCCATGAAAGCACTTCTGGAAGTATTTGCTTTCATGAAGAAAACTCCCTCTGTCTTTTCCAGATGCTCCGGGCTCACACGTTGGAGTCTCTGTTCTTTTCCAGGCAACACGACCCGTTCAATGAAGTCGTGCCCCCCATGTTGTACAGCAACAACAGGCATGAGCACAGCACACCACGTGGAAGCAGGACCTGCACATCCCAGTCCTCAACAGATTTTTAGGGAGTACCAATTTTTAATGGAGCTCCTCTCTCTTAATCCATAACTCCTTTTTTTCCTACACTGATACTGAGTGGCTCTATGTCCCCTTCCTCCTTAGTGCTGACCAGGCACTGGGAACCTCTTCCAGATGAAGGGTACTATGAAGCCACTGCTTCTCTCAGGAGAGAACACACTCATTCCTTTTTTATTTCTGAAATCATTGCTGGACTCTGGCAGCAATTTACTAAGAGAGTAAGGATGATTCATCACCCTCACTGAAATACCATACGAAGTCTCAAAAAATAACCAATTTCCCCTGGAAACAGCCATTTGAGATAGGAGGGGAGAGCAGAAGGAACTCTGCCCCAGATAAACCTTTCTGCTGACGCACCTTCCAGCCACCATCTGGCAACCAACCCAACTCAGCTGCTCAGCCCGAGGCGTGTCCAATTCACACACAGCACAGCGGTGGCTCTGATATGGGCTTCCAAGCCAACTATCCTCAGAATATCTTGTTTTTTTTAGGATGACATAACACAGAGCTGCACTTTCCATGAAAGGCCTGGAGCTTGCTCAGAGCACAGGTCTGCTAAGGAGCATTGGGCCGAACAGTCCCACCTCTGCAATGGTTCTGTGAGGTCACCTCACACATCACTCCTGTGCTTTCACCAAACCGGAGGAAACAAGCATCTCTTAATCCCAATCTTTAAGAAACAAACACAAAAGTCGCCCAACCGAGTGGCTTTAAGCAAACTAAAAGAGAAATTACGATGACAAGCGAGTGCACCAGAGTTAGTCGGACCCTGAAGCTCTGTGGGGGACGGAGGGGCGACCTGTCAATCACGGCACTGCCGCAAAAGGAAGGCACAGCGCTGCAGCTCCGCAGGGCCAGAAGCGGGATTTCTCGTCTAATCAACGGCCCCTCCCAACGGCTGCCCAGGGCTCTGCCGCTCCGGACGCACCGAGCCCCGGGGGAACGGCGGTGCGCGGGGCCGGGCGGGGCGAGGAGCAGCGCGGGGCAGGGAAGAACCCGGCCCGAGCCGGGCGGGGAAGCCGCTCGCCCCGGGGAGCCGAGGAGCGCCTCAGCTCAGCCTCGGGGGGAACGGGCGCCCGGCGGGAGGCTCGGGGCCGCGGCCTGGCCGGCACCCGCCGGGACGCGGCCTGCTTCCCCCGCCGGGAGCGGAGGGGACCCGGGCCGAGCGGAGGCCTTTCCCCGCCCCCTGCGGTCTACGAGCGGCTATAGTTACCGGCGAGCAGGGACTTTACCGAACCCCAGGGACCGCGGCCGCCGCTCTATCTCCCCGCTCCGCTGGGGCCGCCGCTCGGGCCGTCGCCTTTCCCCTACTGCCAGCCTCAAAGATGGCGTCCGACATACGGGCACCTCGGCACCCCCGTAGCCAAGATGGCGGCCGACGCGGCTTCACTTACATCCGCTTCCGCCCGCTGGAGAGAGCGGCGGCGGAGCCGCGCGCAGGCGCAGTGAGCACAGCCCCGCCCACAGCGGCCTCGCGCCGGAAGTGGAGCGGGGTGAGGCTGTCACTTCCGCCTGGGGCCGCCCCCGCTTCCGGTGTGGTGCCGTGGGTTTCGCTGCCTCAACGCCAGGCGAGCTGTTTGAGTCTGGTATCAAAGTTATAGACGTTCACACAAATATTCGTGTCTGAATCCTCAGTAATATCATGCACACGTGTAAAATCCCAAAGGGGGCCCCACAAACGCGTCCTCTTCCAATATACGGAAGCTCAGCACCGGGTCGGCGCTCCCTTGACGTTTAATGGGCGCTGGGCGACGCTGAGGCTTGGCGGTAGGGAGAGATGGGTTGAGTTCCTCGTAGCTGAGCACCCCTCCTGCCTCGCTGCCATTTCTGGAAACGTCCAGAAGAGGACAATGTTCTCTCTCTTTCAAATTCCTCCCATAACAAAAACTACCGAAATGTGAAGAAAGGGAGGAGGGGGAAGAGGAAAACAGTCCAGTTATTTTAATTGATTGATTCAGTTGGAAAGAAGTGCAGGAGGAAAAAAAAAAAACAAAACCACAACAAAACAACACACAACAACACACGCGATTAGGCACATAAAGACTTTTCCCCAGGGGGGAAGTGGGCAGGCAGCCGCAGGGCACAACGCAAGAGGTCAGAAAGCAGCCACGGGTCAGCAGGGGGGCTCCTTTATTCAGGGATGGATGGCTGATACAGCTGTGGTAACACCGGCAGGACTAAAGCTTTGCCCAGGGCTGACCACGGGTGGCGGGTGGTGGTGGGGGGTGTTGTGATGGGGAGAATGGATCTGGGAGATCCCTGAGCCATGGGGAGAGAATTCAGGACTGTTCACAGAGGTCTGCGTCCTCCTGACATTGCCATCCCACAAAGCTGATTTCTGTTCCCTTCTATGTGAGCTGCCCTCACAAAGGTGGGGACAAGCACAGCCCCCACATGGGCTCTTCTATGGGGGGGACACGTGCTCCTGAAGTGAGAACCTGTAACAGGGTGAGATTTGGGAGCAGGGAATGAGCCAGACCCACCCCCACCATTCCCAATGGAATCTGGGAGTTCTGGGCAGGAGGTGTGAAGGTGGAGAGCTCTGTGAGCGAGGGAGGGGGGGAGGTCCATGTCCCCCGGGCACCCTGACCAGGTGACTACAGGCAAAGCACGTGGGTTGCCTGGGGGAGGTGTTTGGATTTGGCTGCTTTGGGGGTCAGAAACCCATTGTTAGGTTGAAAGAGCATTCCCAGCCCCGGGTGTTGGCTGAGGGAGCAGGCGCTGCCCAGCAGCAAGGCTCCCAGCACAGAAACCACCCAACATCAGCAGCCCCAACGAGTACACTGCTCATAACCCATCTCCTCTGCCTTTGCAGCAGGTGGTGTAAAGGGCACACAAGCCCACTTCCAGGGCTCTGCGGGCCCGCAGGGACCCGAGGTTACCACCACCTACGGGTGACCGTGTCGTTGCAGCTGGCTGCTTCCACGTCTATGCTGCAGAGCGCTGCCTTGTGTGTATTAAGCTGTCCTTAGGGCTGGGTTTTGCTGCCGAGGAGGAGGAGGGTCTCCCTGAGCCGGTGGGCTCCCTCCCACACAGTCCCTAACAGGGAAACGCGGTCCCCTCCCGTGGCCAGCCCGGAGCGTCTGGAGCTATCGGAGCCCTTCCAGGACCTTGGCAACGGGCAGCATATGTGGGGGGGTGAGGGTAGACGGGTCGTGCTGATGCTGGAGGTGGAGCAGCCCGCTGGTACCTTGCTGGCCGCCCAGCCGGGGCCGGCTCTCCGCGCTGTGGGCACGGCTGCCCCGAGCTCTATACGTGAGAGATGTAGGGCGGGGGGGGGCAGGAGGCGGCCCGGGGGCTGCGGGCGGTCGGCTCCCCGCTGTCTGGAGCCATCAGTACCGCGCTGTCACTGAGGCAGGGGCAGAGCTCGGAGCAGCCCCGCTCCCTCCCCCCGGCGCCCATCCTTTGCTGGCAGGGCACGAGCGTCGTGGAGGGGAAGCGGTAGCTGTCGAAGATGGGGTGCGCTCCCAGGGAATCGGGCGTCTCGAATATGTGGTCGATGTCAGAGAAGCTGACCAGAGCCTGCGTGGAGTCGTAGGAGCTTTTCTCTGTGTCGTCGAGCCCGCAGGGCTGGGGGCAGCTGCCCCTGTCCCGGCCCTTCTGCCGCAGCAGGCGGAGGTCATCCCTGCAGTGGGGGTTGAAGAGCAGGTAGAGCACGGGGTTCAGGCAGGCGGGCAGGGGCAGGACCACCAGGAGGACGGATTTGATGACCTCCGGGGTGATGAGGAAGAGGTTGAGCGTGGAAGAGAAGGTGAGGAAGGCCACCGGGCAGTAGAGGAGGCAGTTGGTGAAGATCAGCCAGGCCACGTGCTTGACCATGGCGCAGTCCCAGACAGCGCCGCAGTCGCCCTTCAGCAGGCTGCAGTACAGTCGGATGTAGGTGCCTGTGACCACCAGGAAGCAGAGCACGTTCGTCATCGCCAAGGCCACGGTGAAGCCCAGGGTGGCAGGTTTCCCACCCGGGATGGGGTATGGGAGGCACAGCGGGGATGCTCCGTATTCCCCGATGGAGAAGAGAGGCAGAACTGCGGCCACGGAGGACAGCAAGAGGCAGCCGAGCGCCGCAGCCTTCACCCTGCCAAGGGGGGGTGCCTTCCTGCAGCCCCGCGCGCAGGAGACCGAAACGCTGCACTGCACTGCAGCCAATGTCAGCAGGAAGATGGCGGCTTCGGAGGAGAACACGGCCAGGAAGCCGGTCACCCTGCAGCCCGTGCCACTCTCCCACCTGGCGCCGAACTGTGCAAAGTGGCCGTAGGTCAGGGCATCGACGAGAGCCAGCATGCTGCAGGAAACACCGCTCAGCGTGTTGGCCCCGGCTATGGAGCCGATGACAAACTTAACTGGAGAGAGATAGCTGGGAGAGGCAAAGACAGCCAGGACCACCAGCCCGTTGCAGAGCACCGAGACCAGAACAATGACCCAGACGCCCAGGCGAATGATCCAGCTCTCAAACAAGTGGTCACAAGGCTTGAAGGGGCCTGAAAGAAACCCAAACCCAAAGTTAAAACCCCAAACCAGCGCTTTGCTCCGGTGCTGCTGCTCAGAGTGGTGGCCCCAGCTCCTCAGGGCAGAGGAGAGGGCAGATCCTGGCATTGTCACCCCGTAAGTTCTTTTGCTCTCCTGTCCCACCCCTGCCCTATGCCGAATCCTCTTCAGGTCTGAAGTCAAGGAGGACTTCTTTCAGAGGAGCTCACGGCCATAACGCCCCACATTTCTGTGGGTTTCCAGCCCCACTGGTGCTCCTGGGCTCAGCCTGGCGTTTGGGTGCCTCTGCCAAGAACTGCTCTTCCCCCATGCCCCGGGGATCTCAGAGTTGTGGAGAGGGGATGCAAGAGAGATGGCAGCATGCTGCATCCCTCTGCACTGCCAGCTCTGCCCTAAACCCACAGCTTTGGCTGAGCTGAGTTTTATTGTGTTGGCATGAACGACCTCTGCGCAGGAGGGACGGCCAGGATGGGATGAAGTGTTAGAGAGGGAGGGAGACAGCAGGCAAGGAGAAAGAGGGAGGGAGCTGCAGTGTCAGGGAGGGGATAGAGAGACCTGAGCAAAGAGAATGTGGGAGGATGTCAGGGGAGAGAATGAAGGAGGACTGAGGTGGAGAAAGGAGGGAAGGAGAGACAGGAGTTGTGCAGAGGTGAAAAGGGGACAGGTAGTGGTTGCTCCTTTCCAAAGGACAAAGAGAGAGAAGACAGTGAAATGGAGAGTTGCTTTTGGGAAGGATTTGGATTTCATGGGAGATGAAGGAGAAGGTTTTGTCTTCGAAACCATGCAATAGTCTGGAGTGGCTAGGAGAAGCACAGGCTGCTTCAAGAGCCAGAGCCTGACTACAGGACAATGGGTGGGTGATGGAGGGGTGACACTGCTGATACCCAGACAGGGACACCACGCCTTTGTCCTCTCCCCACCAGAGGGCAGATCCCTCCAAATGGGAGAAGGAAGCTGACCGTCTCACAGAGCCCAGCTCGAGAGCCTCACTCTCAGGTGGGCCAGGATCTCAGATGTGGTTTCCACGTGAGATGCTGCAGGAAGGGTTGTGGGGGCCTGAGAGTTTAGCGATGCTCAAAGGAGCGCAGATGTGTTCAGAGGGAAGGCTTTCCCTGGCTGCTCACCAGGGCTGGGCGTGCACTGGATAGAGGGGTGCAGCTTTGAGTCCTCAAGGTCCAGCTGGAGCTCATCTGCTTCAAGGTCGTCTGCAAAAAAGCAACAGAGAAGCAGTGCTTGAAGAAGAATGAGCAGGGCCAACGGGCCAGCAGGGCCAGAAGCTTTTCCCACCGCCTGCCCTTCACTGAGACCTTCCCAGCATGAGCCGATGGGAGGCAACCCAACCACTCTTATGGCTCTGTGATCTTCAGGGTCCCTTCCAACCCAGCCATCCCACAGGTCTGTGATTCTATGATATCCCAAGCAGCAAAAGTTTTGGAGCTATTTTCTTGTAACACGGTCATTTTCCTGTAGGGAAGGAATGTTTGGGGACTTTTTTCCTCCTGTTACAAGATTCATCTAACACAGCTAAATCCCACTGCTGACCATCCGAAAGGAAGAGCTGAAACACAAATAGATTAAGTAAAGCAGCAATATCTCAACAGCTTCATCATCAAAAATAGCCCATGTGTTACTGAACGGAAAGGAGGAAGGATGTTCGTGTTCACTCCACATTTGCAGTGCTGTGGTTTGATATTTCAGGCAAACCCAATGCTTTAACATCCGAAAATGTGAGCCTTTATGAGCTGCTAAGAGACTCATCTGGCACAGCCTGCGAGCACTCGCTGTTCCCCTCCAGTCTCATGTGGAATCCATGGGACTGAGGCTGGCCGGGCACCACGGGAGGGGTTGGGTTGGTTTTTGGCAGAGGATCCTCAGGGTCATCAAAGAGCCCCAGCACCGGGCGGCAGCAGGAGCAGGATGGGGGCAGGGCAGATGGCAGCAGCAATGGACACAGACCCGGGCAGTGCAGATGGCCTCTGTGTTTATGTGAGTGTATAAACAAACACAGCCTCCCAGCTGTGTCCTGAAACACGATTTCCACTCTCCAGCAGTTACAGAAGAGGGAAAGGAGCTCGTGCTTTTCTTTGTGTCATTCTGAGGTTCCTTCGCAATGGGATCACACAGGGCTGTACTGAGTCTGAGTGCCAGCAGTGTGCTCTGTGCTCCCCTCTGATAGCCACGTGCAGCAGGATCCGCGGGGTTAATGCAGAAGTACATTTGGAAGAACAGAAAAAATCAACTGCAGAACAGAAAGTGCTGTTCAGCTTCACCTGTGTGCCCTGCATGGGTTTGTATTCCCCGCTCACTTCCTTTTCTTTCCACCTCCCATGTGGGGTGCCCACATAATCCACACTCTGAGCTCATTGCCTCCATCTCAGGGCCCTCTGTGTGTCCCACTGATAACAGCAGACGTCCTTCCAGAGGCTCTGTGCTGCCCAAACCCGAGTCCCACCTTGCTGCCAGCAGAGTGAAATGAGCACAGGTCTGTGCCTCTGTGGAGCGCTGGATCTTCCTCTTAGAGTGTGAATGAAGGTTTAAAGTGCCTGATCCACTTTTCCTCCCACGCACTGACATCACTCAAAGCCCATTCACTGCAGCTGCCATCAGAGCTGGAGGAGGATCCCTCTGCCTGCTCCGAGGCGGCTGGCAGCGTCCGACCTGCAAGCCCAGGCTGACTCCCAAACTGCCAGCATGACGGTGCTGCAGAGCATCATCCCGCTCAGCCTACTTACAGTGGTTGTCTGTGTGACCTGGGAAGAGCTCCAGGGCCCTCCTGTGGGGATCTTCATCCTCAGGGCTCGCGCCTTCTGCCTCCCACTGGTTGGATGCTCTGAAGAACCCACTGCAGCTTCCATAGGCGCAGCACTGGTAGGCGTAAGGTACCTCGAGGACTCTGCAGAGGGAGAAAAGGGAACGTGTAGTGACTCTGGCTCCCTACTGCTACACACTTTGTGCTGAATTTTCATGCATTAGAAGCCAATCCGTCACCCAGTGGTCACACTGCAGCACAACTTTGGTTCCCTGAAAGGGACTCCATGTGGGACAGAGTGCAGGCTCACATCACCCCACAGTGCTGGGCTCCCTCAGTGCCCCCAGTACAAATTGAACCCAGCCCAGAGGCAGGAGTGGGGTGAGTGGAGGAATGCCCCAGAGGAGCCCTGAGCTGCTCCACACTTCCCAGCTGTGTGTGCAGGTTTGGGGAGGGGGGCTGCAGCGCTGCCTTCCCGTGGAAGCCTGTAAAACATGAGGTGTGTTGGCAGCAGATGGAGCATCCTCAATCTGTTGGCCTGGAAAGCACGGGATAAACCAGGAAAGTGAGAGGCTGACTGATAGAAACAAGTAGAGACTGCACAGAGAGCAGGAAGGAAAAGAGCGGATGGGGCCCGGGATGCAGGCAGTACCTTAATTTGGGAAAGCTGTCCTTGGAAAAGGGCTCAGAGAGTGCTGGGTTGCCCTGCAGCTTCAGGTGGGTCAGGCTGCCCAATCCACCCAGCGGCAGCACCGCCAGCCGGTTGTCTGACAGATCCCTGTGGGAGGAAAGCAGAGAGCTGGAGTGCACCCGGGAGCTGTGCCGGCTGTCTCCTGCTTTCTGCCTGAAATGCAGTGCTGCGGTGGGGCTGGGTGCTGCCCGGGCTCAGGATCCACTGGAGCTAATAGATGGGGGCTGCAGCCCGTGGGGGCAGTGATGGGTTAATGTATGTGCTGGGAGCTCTGTGTGACTTTTGACATCAAAAGGAAGCGCTGCGATTCGGTCTGCTCCCACCAGCGCCGTGCAGCACTGCCTGCCAGGCGGCACAGGGCACTCCGGTCCCAGAACAAACATCACTGCCACTTACAGCTTGGTGAGCGAGCGCAGCGTCACGAAGGCGTCGGGGTGAATGAAATGGATGTCATTCCAGCTCAGGTCTCTGCAAGGGAAGGACACGGCGCTGAGATGGGGCAGAACAGGAGAGCGAGCGGAGGGAGGGACGGGACAGCCTGACCGGCAGCGCGGGGCGGCCGTCCCCACTGCACAGCTTACATGGAGCGCAGGGCTGTCAGCTGCACAAAGGTGTCCGCTCCGATTTCGTGGATTCTGTTGTGCTGGAGACCACTGGAAAAGCAGAACCTGGTCTGAGGAGCAGCTGAAGGCAGCGTGCACACCTCACACACAGGCTGGCGCAGGCGAGTCATGCGAGTCTGGGAAACTTCTTTTATTTCATGGGGCAAAAATGCACGGGGAAGGCGCTCCTATCCCGCACTTACACTCTGCATTCCCAGCAGTGAGCGCAGTGCTCAGCCCTCCCAGCACCAGGAGCTCAGTGCTGGGCTGCTCTGCCCGCCAATGCGACCCCTTTGCCCTGAGCTCTGTACTCACAGCTCCTCCAGCCGCTGGCACCGGTGGAAGCTGGGCAGCTCTTCGATTTTGTTGTGTGACAGCTCTCTGTGGGGGACAGACCAGCACAGGACGTCAGGGAGAGAAGAAATGAAGGGTGAGTGCCTCTCTTTGGAGGCGGGTGTCCAACCCTGATAGCAGTGCAATTAATGTCAGTAAGTGAATGAGGAAAGAGGAACAAGGACAAGGTGGGGTGTCCTCAGAAAAGCTGGCTCCCAAGGAGGAGCAGGCATTGACAACATGAAGGTTTACAGCCTGATAGCTTGCAAACACAGACACAGCACACGGGGCCCTGCAGCCCTGACTGTCCCAAAGGCAGTGGGCACATTTTGGTGGCATCGAGTTGGCTCAGATGTCTAAAGCTGAGAGATCTTCCCTGCAGGGACAGCTGGGAACACTACGGTCTGCTAAGTTACAAATGGTGTTCTTTTATTTTTGTGTTTGTCTCATTTCCAACTTCCAGAATTCACTCTTATTGCTTTCCTGGAAGAGGCTTGTTTTCATTTCCAGCTCGCGTGTGTAAAGACTGATGAGAGGCAAACCTCCTTCTTGCCCTCAGGCTGCAAACTTGTATAAATCTGGCTCACGACTCACTTCCTGAAGATGTCACTGTCTGCAGACAAGGTTGGGGACCTCGGGAACAGAGGGGTGGCACGCAGTGGGTGCCAGGTTAAAGACAAACCATGCTCTCCCTGTCAGCATCACTCCAAGCCTTGCTGAACTGATAGGGCATGCAGAAGTCAAGGCAGTGCCTGAGAAGGAGGTGTGTTCACAGCAGGTACAGAACCACGAGGTGGTGTTCCACAGCCAGACCCCTCCCTGAGCCGGACAAGAGGAAAGCCCAGGTTCTGATGGTGCTTTTCTGAAGAGCAGACAGGACAGAGAAATGCACATTACTCACAGGATGCGCAGGTTGGGCAGCTGCTGGCACACGGCTCTGGGGAGGAGGCGGATGCCTGCCCTGGTCAGCGTCCTGTGGGGAAAGGAGAGGGAAGAGCTGGTGTCAGTGGGACCAGTGCAAGGACTCTGCTACCTGCAAGCCCAGCTACCCGACCCAGGAAGAGGCAGGAGAGACAACGTATGTGAGATAATGAGATACCCAGAAAGAACCAAAAACTGCCTTGGAAACGGGCACTGCTGCTGGGACTGGTAAAGGTGAATGCAAGGAACTCGGACACTGCTGGGTACTGAACTCAGTGGTGTCCTGGGCTGTGTCGGGGCAGCTGGCTGCGCACCCTGCGTCCCAGTTCCCTACCACCCAGACTGGTGATCTCTCTGGAGCCACCACTGCCTCAGAATCCCACGTATGGGGCAGTGGGGTGCCCCAGTCCTGGCAGCGAGGCACAGCCAGGGCTGGGCAGGCACTCACTGTGCCCCCATTGCAGCACTGCTCGTGGACTGTGCCCCACAGAGACCCACGGGGCTGCAGCCATTGCGTCCTGCTGCTGCCTGCTCCCCTGGGCATGCAGCCCCCAGACCCCATGTGGCAAACACACAGCAGAGGTTCCCATCACAGCACCGTGCTGCACTGCACGGCGCCGGTCCTGGGGCGGGCAGACAGGCACTGTTCCCAACAGACCACAGCCAAAGGCTCATTCCTTCACAGATGCAGAAGGAAAAGAAGAAAATAATCCAAAAAAAAAAAAAAAAAAGAAAACCCCAAAAGATCAGAGCATGCTCAACAGTACCGAGAGAGCAACTCACGGAGAAGAAAGCCGCTTTCAGGAGCCACAGGGATGAAACGAAGCAGAGAGGTTTGTGCCCAGGAGGGGCAGAGCTGCACAGCACTGTGAGAGTTGTCCTGGACCGCCTTGAAGAGGGCAGAGCACAAATAGCGGGGTAAAAGGGAGAGATTTGCCACTCACAAAACTTCTAGGCTGGTGGTGCCTTTTAGGTCTGGGAATTCTCTGATGTCCGTTGCACCGTTGAGAGACCTGCAGGGAAAAGAGGCAGAACTGAGGGTCAGGAGCAGCTCCCTGAGGGCCCAGACTGCTCCTCACCCCAAATGTGTGATGGGAGGCCCAGACCCAGAGGTGCTGCTCCCATCTATGTGCCGCTGCTGCTGGGCAGTGGGCAGATGTCTCCCATGGCACTGATGCACTGCGCTGGGATGAGTGTTGCTCTGCAGAAAGGCTTGGCAAGCTCAGACCTCCTCCAACCACTGACATTCTTGGCAGGATTTCTACCCAAATTGTGTTATTAAAAAAAAAAAAAAAGTAATTTCTATTGGGAATGCGAGAAGGGCATCCCAGCCACACCTCCCAAGCCTGGGCATTTTTTTGCAGAAGGATGCATGGGCATTCAGAGGAAGGATGCTACCAGCCTGTGTGTGTCCCTGCAGTGACAGGCTGGCTGTGGCTTGTGAGGAGCAGTTCTGAGGTCACCTCTGCCCCAATCTCCAGCGCTGTGCTGCAGCAGGGCTGCTGATGGATGTGGAGCTGCTGCTGTGGTGCCCGGCACTCAGTGGTGGCCCTGAGCAGGCTTAGCACCATGCAGAGGAAGCACTGTCACCTCTGGCTGCTCAGCTAAGTTATTTGGGGCAGGCCAGAAGAATGGACCATGGCCTCCTGTTGGCATGAGGCCTCTGGGAAATAGGACATGGAGAAAGCCACGGAGGTGCCCTGCTCATGAGGCTCAGGCCTTGGCTGTGTATCTGAGGACCTGCCTGGGGAACTTACAGAGTGTGTAGCTTTGGCAAGTACTGGAAGGCAGACTGTCCAACAAACTGGATGGGGTTGTCATAAAAATGGCTGCAAAGGAAATGGGCAGCTGGTTAGATCCTGACGTGTGCAGAAGGTGCAGTTACAGGTAAGGGCTCTGGGGCAGTAAGCTGCAAGCTGAGCAGAGCGTGCTGGCTGCCCCGTGAGGAACCCCTGCTTCCCAGGCTCTCCCAGCAGCCTCTCTGGGCTGAAACTGGTTAAACTGAGGTCTCCAATCCTGCTGCTCTGGAAGGATCCTTTAGTATTCTGCTGAACCAGGCAGGCTGCAAAGAAGCAAAGCCCTCCATTGATCCTTCAGTGGTGCAACATCTTGCATGTGACCATAGCTCTGGTCTTACAAACCCACAGCATCTCTCCTACCTGTCACACTCAATGGAGAGAAGTGGGGACGTGAGTGTGCCAGACGTGTCCCACCCCACAACCCTCCGTGGGGAAGATGGGGGGAGGCTGCTTTATTTTGACTGGGGCAGGGCCTGTTTCCACCCAGCTGACTGCTCTGCTGGTATTTCTAAACACGAGGCAGATGTCACCCAGGGCTTAGGAAATCCCCTTGCACACAGCATGGCCTCGCATTTCCCATTCCTTCATCACTGTCAGCCTTGCTGGCTGCAGCAGAGTTCAGCTGAGGGTAAAGGAGAACCCATGGCAGAGAACTGGAGGCGTAGCTGGGAAGGAGATAATTTCAGCTTCCATTAACCTCCATACAACAAATGTCAAATTGCGGTCATGCTGACAACTGTCAGCAATCCCAACCAAAGGTGTAAGGAAATGCCTCTTCCCGGGGGATGTAAAGATTTAGGAAACACCATTTAATTTTCTTACATTGTTTGGAGAAGGGGATTCCCAACAAATGCATTCTCTGGGATGGCTTTGATGTTGTTGTTATGAAAACCGCTGTTGGGAGAAAGAAACATCTTGATATTAATGCACTCGAAGGGCTCGGAGACGCCTGCTTTCCTCAACGCTTCTGGAGGCAGAGGGCCTTGAGAAGATGCACATAAAATAGGGGGTGGAGGCTCAGTCCTGCCTGCAGCATCAGCTCAGCAAGTGGGCAAAGTCTCTTCTCAGGACTGGGGAGCCCTACCAGCTGCCCTTGGCCCCATCTTGGGTCTTCTACCTCCGTGGGTGTTAACTCGGGTGATTTCGAGGGGATGAAGTGCTGTATGTGTGCACTGGGAAGCGTGGGTGAGAGGAAAAAAGGGCTCCCCAGTGAAAGCATGGGCAGTGTTTGATTGGCCACTCTCCAACAGAGAACGCTTCTGAAAGGGAATAAATAGGAAATCTCACAGCTCCTGCAGTCGGCCCAGCGTCCGAATGGCCCCTGGGAATTCCAGCAGCTCGTTGTAATTGAGATCCCTGAAAGACAGAGGGGAGAACAGTCGTCAGTGTTGCCGAAGGAACTCAGTGGAGTGTATCTGTGCTTTGAAGGCATGGAAACTTGGTCGTAAAGCATGGCACAAAGGCTTTTCCTCCCGTGCCCATCCAGCCACTGCCTGGACACCAACTCTCACACGTTCCTGCTGCAGGAACATTCCCTATGAGGAGCACTGTCAGGTGAGGGCCAGCCCAAACCACAGCTGCTGCCATCTGCATTCCTTCCCCACCCAACTCTTGGTGCCCAGAGCTGGGCCACGCTGCTGCTTTGTGTCCCCAGAGCCCAATTCCCCTCTCCCAGGGTCTCTCCTGCAGGCACGGGGGCTGGGAGCCATTTATCTTGCCTTTCCAGGTCACAAAATGATGTTATGAAGAACAAGAAACATGAGAACAGCTTCAGCTCAGCCCATGGAAGGGCTCTCTCTAATTGAAGAGGGGAGCAGAGACCTGCAGAGCAGGGGACAGCTTCCTTGGTGCTTCCCATAGGGGTGCTGGAGCTCCCAGCTGCTGGGACGTGCTGGGGACCACTATGAGCAGTGTGCTCTGAGGAGGTCCAAGTCTTCTTCTGACGGCTGAGGTGAACCTCACACTGAAACCATGAGCCAAAGGTGGAGGCGATGTGGAAGAGGTGTGGACGGTTCTGGAGGTTAAGTTTAATTTGCAGTATAATAAATAAAATAGAATATGCTTAATACAGGCGGTCATAGTGACAAGTGCAGGTTATTACCCTAACTTGGCAACCAGGAGTCCTAAGGGCAGCTCCAGCCAACACGGACCCCTCTGGCTCCTTCTGGACAGCCCAGACCCCGAGGGCTGAAAGCTGTGGCTGCTTCCTCCCTGCATGAAACTCACTGAGTTTTAAGTGGGAGACACTCTGGAACATGAGGGTAATTACGGGCTCCTGGATATTACTGTATAATTACACTTAATGGGCCTTGAAGTAATTACCATGTAACCTGGATTGTGGTTTACAGAACAGAAATAACCACCCATTCACACAGCAGTGAGTTGCTGCCCGATTTCCTTGTAATCCTCATCCCCTGGGCCCAGGCACAGTAATTCCATTCTGATCTCCATTCCCCTCCCAAGGTCTCCTCCTTTGCCCACATCTCCGTATGTCGGTCGCTCTGTGTCCCTGCTTTGGCTTTGCCTGCTGGCTGCTGCCATGGTAAATCTCCGGCGATACCCGACGTGCCTGCAAAGCCGCCAGGTGGGAAGTATTGCCCAACAGAGACAGAACTCACATCACCTGTGATTCACAAACAGAGGAGGTGTTGGATCTGCACCCAACGCTACTGACTGGGGTAATTCAGCGCACTGCAAGATTTGTGCCCGTCTTTCTCTAGAAATGCACTTCCTTTCCAGGCCGGGTCTCTTCCAGGCAGGCTGCTCTTTCATCAGCAGATGAACATTCTGTTTGTACCTCGACGTGTGTGCAAGTACGCACAGGACCGTCCTTCCTGAGTGAGCACACACCTCTCCCAGCCTGGCAGCATCCCCGCGCCTCCCCCGCCGCACACAAAGAGCGCTGTGTTCAGCAGATCCCTCTGGGGAAGAAAAGCCACCGCCGGCTCCTGGCATGTGCTGGGCTTGTTGGGAAGTGGAAGTGCACCCAGGTGTAGTCACGCTGCTGCAGCCTGGCCGCCAGCAATGCCGCTGTGCCCAGGAGGAGAGGCGATGCGCCCACGCTCGCTCCTGCCGGTGCTTCCTGGTTTTTGGCATAGTGAGGTTCCCTCCCGGGAAATAAACCCATCTGTCCTCATTACCACCTCCCTGAGCGCTGCCCCTCTCTGGGTGCAGCCTCGCCTCCAGCACTGCCCTGTGCCACATGTGGGGAGCCCGTCTGGCTGGGTGCTGGGTGAGGCGGGCACTGCGGTGCTCCCTGGCCCACAGCCCTTCCCAGCAGAGGGGCAGCTCTCCCCGAGCCCCAAAGCCAGGGCAGCACCCGAGGGTGGCTTCTCTGTCTCTTCCTTTTCCTTCCCAGAGCTCCAGCCCAGCCCTGGTTCAGGCAGTGGCCCAGAAATTGTCCCAAGCATCACGATGGGCAGCGACGGTGTCAGTGAGGAGCTCCACAGGATGAGATATTTCTGCTCATTTAGGGAAGTTCAGTCCTCGGTTCCTTCTGCAGACACCTGAGCCTGGGTGGATATGGAAAATGGATGTGCTGCAGGAAACTCATCAAGTGTCCTCGTGCCTTATCTGAGCTGCTTTGCAACGCTTTGCTGGTGCCAACGCTTTGCTGATCCCGACGTTTCTCTGCTCCTGGTGCTTCGCCGTTACCAACCCCACCATCAGGTCCTTCCCCCAGCATCCAGCTTTGGGGTGATGTGGGGATGGCTGCAGAAGGCCCAACCTGCCGCCAGGTGACACTGTCCCCACTGACTGCAGTGGCCCACGGGCAGAGATGGCCGCGGGCAGCGCAGGGGCGTGGGGGGCTCTCAGGGCTGCCCCGGGGGTCTCGTGGCTGTGGGGTGGTGCATCTGGGACAGCAGACCCAACGCCAGCATTGCTGGATTGGAGAACACCAACAGCCCACGGATATCTTCACCCCACAACAATAGGGGAACTTCATAAAACCTCAAGTGGGAAGAGAAGAAGTGCCAAATGGCACAAGGAACGGAGTTTTGCCCACCATCAAAGGCCTTTGGAAGCAAAGTCACGCAGCCCGCAAGTCCTACAGAAACCGACTGTGAAAGAACTGCTTTCCTCAGCTGTGCTCCACGTTACAATGAAAACCTCTTATAGGGCTCAGCTTGAGTGCAGCAGAGTGGCTGACTTCACACTGCTGTTATTTCTAATGAGCCTGCAGCTCTGTATGAGGAAAATCTTAACCAGCCTTGTCTATGTAGAAATGAAAGCAAAATGACATCAAAGGCACAGCTATTTTGGGCTGTAAGTGCTGGGCTGATTTGGAGCCGACAGCACACAGCACTATTAATACCTCCAATAGGGCCAGAAAGAGGGAAGGAGGGGAAAGAGTCTCAGGTCAATTTTCTGCCTGTTAGGGGCTGTTAGTGGTTCCACCCAAGAAGCCAGACAAGAAAAAAACCCAATTATACAGTACTATAAATTCTTGCATAAGCCACAAAACACCGCAAATTTGCAGCTAATAAACCTGAAGATGCACACAATTAGGAGCAGGAGGCAGCGCAGTGCTGGCTGTTTGTGTCCCAGCGCGGTGCTGCATCCCCTCCTGCCCTGCACTGCCAGCTCTCCAGTAATCATCACTGCTGCAGTGGGAGAGGTTTAATTGGGGCTCACAGGCTGTGCTGAGCCCAGCCGACCTGCTGTGTTCCTCCATGGCACTGAGCTGGGCTGCTCACCAAAACACAGCGCTGCCAGGAGCAGCCATTGGTGCCACGCTTCTCTCGTGTCACACCAGCACAAACCACAAATGGAGACTTCTGAGAGCACTGTGCACAGGGCAGAGAGCTGCCCTATGCTGGGATTCATCCGTGGGAGCAAACGTGACCGACAAATGCCCATTTTAGCAGGGAACAAGGAGCACCCAGGATGCGATGGCAAAGCTTTTGGGTGCCCCAAGGAGCAGAGCTGTGGGTGATGCTGGTACCCATTTCTTCCAGAAGAGCAGTGAGCTCCACACAGGGCTGTGTGCTGACAGCCCGGCCGGGAAGCACCGAACCTCTCACACCGTGCTGCACATCCGTGGGGCTCAGAGTGCAGCAGAGGACCGTCCGTATGTCCACATCGCATGTCTGCAGCTGCCGGTCCTGGAGCTCTGTTCTCCATTAAAAAACGCAGCAGTGCCCTGAATGTGTCTCTTCCAAGCAGCACTGCTGTCTGCTCTCTAGCTGAGGAAGGTACTGAATGAAATGTGTTTTCAATTCCGTGTGATTTATTTAACAAGGTCGAAACAAGGCTTTGAGAGCGGGATCTCCTGGGGGGTCCGGGAGCGCAGCGCTGCCACGCACGAACCATTGAGGAGAGACAAAGGGAGCGGAGCGCAGAGCGCGGCCGGGGCAGAGCCGGGGCGGTGCGACACAGACGATAACGGCGGGGCTGAAGGGTCGGGAAGGAGGAGGAGGAGGAGAGCGGCCGCGCTTTGCCCCGCACGGGGAGCGGTGGGACGGGAAGAGCCGCCGGGTACAGCGGAGCGCTGCTGAGCTGACCGGCAGGAAGGACAGGGGGACCCCCCAGCCCCCCCCGGGCACAAACCTGCACCCCCCGCAGCAGTTGGAAGAGAGGAACGGGACGGGGAGCAGAGCTTCTGGGTACTGGGAGCGATTTCTTCTCTGCAGTGATGCTCTGGGGGTCCAGAGCAGCAGGAGGGGATGAGCCTTACAGCACAGCCACAACCCGGCCAAACGCAGTGACCTGGGCTGGCTCTGCTCACTGCTTGTTTTGCTCCTTATAATCTCCCCAGACGCTGTGTGTCTGCACGGCGGCACAACCAGGTGAAGCTCTGAGCCGAGTGGGTTCAGAGCCTGAGCTGCAGCACTGAGGCACCGCGGTCTCCTGTGCTCAGGAGGGGAGCAGCAGACTGGGAGCAGGCAGCCCGCGGGGCCATCCCTGTGCACACAGGCAGCACTGAGTGCTTCTGGACTTTGTCCGGGTGGAAAAGTCACCTTCCCTGCGACGACTGGAGCAGGTGATGCACTTTGCAGCCCCGTTCTCGGACCAGAGGCAGAACCACACAGCTCTGAGCTGTGGTCTCTATTCCCAAAACTCCTTTCTCCATCCCCTGCCTCCTCGGGCAGCCAGCAGAGCATCCGCAGGGGGGGGGGACATGTTGGCAAAGCCAAATCCCACCAGAAGAGCAAGGCAGAGTGTTTTCCAGAACAACACTTTTGCCCTAGAAGGGTTAAACAGCCCTCATACGAACTGTGGTGGAGATATTTCCCATTTCCTTCCTTCTGCCTTCAGCTCCTCAGGTGTATGTTATATTAATGCTTTCTTTTCTCTTGCCACAGTTAAGGCAGCTCTCAGAGGAGGCTCCAGCTCTGCTCTCCATTTACAGCCTCGGCTAATTACCCAGATAATGGGGCTGTGAAAGCTGTGGTCAGGGCTTTTCGTGTGAGGCAAGGTTAGGCAGACTGACCGCCCGCAGCAGAGGGTTTGGGATCCGGCCCTCCTGGCAGATGGTTTTAATTTATTAGTGCTATTAAAAATAAAAAAAAAATCAAAAGGTTTTTAAATGAACGAAGATTTGCTCCTTCCAAGTGGTTTGTATGACGAAAGGGGGAGGGGTGGGGATGGGGAGGTCTTCTCCAGCCTTGGAGATCCTATGATTCTATGACACCGTGTCATCTGCAGAAGGTGAAAAGAGGCCACGGTCATCCAGTTCAGGCAGCTGGCAGCATGGTGGGCTTTCCCCCACCCTGTCAGGTGCTGTTTCTCCAAGAGCTTTGCCAGAATTTGCTAAAATAGACATTTTCCTGTCCAGCTGAATATGAAGAGAAACATTTCCCTTTGGTTTCTGCATCTAAAGCTTTGCAGGCTTTTCTGCACTCCCCCCAGAACGATTCTTTCCACTCGAGTCCTGCAGCTCTTCAACCATTGTGCCCGGATTATAATCAGCACTTGGCCACAAGCACTCATTTTAGGAAGCCCGGAGATGTTTCTGTCTTCACCAGCTCTTCCCCTCCTGCAGCCTTCCAGGAGGTGACGCCCACGGGGTAAATGAGAGCACAGCTCTGCCAGCGCCAGCCAAGAAAATGTGCTAAGTGCTGTCAACAGAATGTAATCATAACCTGAATTAAAGGGTACGTGCAGGAGGCTGCAGCAGTCCCCACACGCACGGGAGCTGCGGCGCTGGCAGCTCTGCTGGCGCAGCCACCACGCAGGGACAGTTCTGCTGTGGGGTCAGTGGGTGCTGAATCCACGGAGGGACGGAAGGTTCCTCAGGGAGCACTGGTGTGAGGCTGGGAATCGGGGTTCAGGGGAAAGAGCCACCTCTCTTTTCCTGAGCTGCTCCATCAGCACTGCTGGACCAGGAGGAGCGCCAGGAGAGCTCACCCACAGCACCGCCGTGCAGCTGCAGGCAGCTCGAGGAGGACAGGGAATACTCACAAGCTCAGGTTGGGGCCATGAGAGCCTGAGAGGAGTGATCCTCCAGCAGAGCCCCGCTCCCAAAGGGTGAACCCCCCAGGGTCTCCGCTCAGCAGGGACAGAAGCTGCAGGGTCGGGGCGGTGGGGTGCCATCAGCCCTGTGGCTGCAGGATAAGGCTGTCCTGGTGCAGACTGCTCCATTGCTGCATTTTCCTGGGCTGTAGCCCTGGGTGCTGCCAGGTGCACAGATCCCCACGAACACGACCAGCCCTGTGCTCAATCCAACCCCTCATTTTGGCAGCGTCTGCTGTTCTGAAGGCTTTGGGCTGTGTGTGAGTGGTGAGGAGCTGGGGACACAGTGAGCAAGCGCTGCGCCGAGGGCAGATTTGTTTCCTGAGCTCAGAGCCCCCCACCCTCCTGCAGACCCCTCTGCAGCAGTAGCATGACTGGCACAGGAGCAGGCAGAAATCCAGGTCTGTCCTGCCCCATTCTTGGCAAAGAGGAAACATGCAGTGGGAGCTGACACAGAGACATCAGCCCCTTCCTGGGGGCAGTGCTGGGGGCAGCCCAGGCCCTGCTGGAACGTGGGGGAGCCACACACTGCTCCCAGCACTGCGCAGGGCAGAGGCAGCGGGAGGAACGCGCGCAGAGGGGAAAAGGCGACTCACAGCGTCTCCAGGTTGTGCAGCCCATCAAAGCCATTCGCCCCCAGGCGCTGGATGCGGTTGTTGTGCAGGTGCCTGCGGACAGAACAGAGGTGTTCACTGCAGATGTGAGATGAACTTTTCCTGCCAGCCTGAGCCGTGGCCCAGGGACAGCCTGCAAGCTGAGCGTGGACGTGCGGGGATGGTGAGGGGTGCTGTAAGGCGCCCTCTCCCATCTCACGGGACGCACACGTGCTGCAGTAGCGCTCATGGAGCAGCTCCTATTCTCCCAGGAAGTCCAGGCATTTCCTAAGACCTTAAATTTGGGTGAAAATGCTTAAACTGAACCCTCAAGAAACACTCTACATCTGACCCTGCAGAGCTAACCTTGGACCCAGCCCTACCAAAGCTGCGTGGCTTCATGGGCACTGGGTGCTACTGAAGGGCAGAGCTGTACTCAGAGCCTTAATAGCAGCAAGAAGGCTTTGAGTTTCCAATCATCCTGTTAATCACAGTTTATTATTGTTCCTTAAAAAAAAAAAGAAAGAAAGAAAGAAAGGAAAAAAAGAAAATCCTTCCAGTCCTGGCTTGGCTCCACTTTGATTGCAATGAAAGTTACAGAATCTCAGAACCATAGAATTGCTCAGATTGGAAAAGACCTTAAAGATCTTCAAGAAGGCCTTAAAAATCAGCAAACATGAGACAACTGTGCTGCCCAGCCTGCACTTCAGCCAGCCCACCTCAAGCGCACTGGGGAGGTCCTTCCCTGCATGCAGCAGTGCCCACCTGCCCTCCGGGGCAGGACGCTCCTGCTGATCTCCATCAGGGTGGGCTTCCCCACCAGTTCAGGTTCTCCTTTAACACACAGCCCCACGTGGTTCATCTGCTGCCCTGGGGTCCCCCTCCCACACCCAGAGCTGCACCAGCCGTAGTCCAACACCTCCTTCCAAGAGCCCGCAGGAGGCTGCACACTGGCAGGTGAATCAGTGACTTTTTTCATTATTTGCTGCTTGATCTCAATCTGTCTCAGCTTGAAAAATCTCTCGCTCCACCTGGCTTCAAGTGGGAACCGTTTGGCTGAGCGCACACAGCTCCCACTGCCAAATTCTTGGGGTAAAACAGGAGGGAGCTGGGAGGCTCGAGGGCAGCGCGGCTCAGAAAGCAGCACAAGATGGATGTGAGCTGTGGGGATGTGCAAACAGTTGAGGGGAAGGGGAAAGGAAGGGAGAGAAGTGTGATGAAATACGTTTGCTCCTCTGGGGCTGAATCTTGCAGGAGGAATTCTGTTTGTCACAAGAAAAGAAGTTCGGGTCCACATGGTTTCCTCTATCAGATTTTATGAGTTCGCTGCAGATCGCGTTGTCCTCACTTCATTTGGCACTTCCAGAGCAAGACGGTGCCAGCTGTTTGGATCCCTTTGAACGCTGGATGTGGCACTTGGCAAACGGGGGCTTTGGATCTGGAGCCTCTCACCCTCATCGCAGGAACCCACAGCTCTGTGTGAGGGGGGAGGAAATGCTGAGCACTGGGAAGAAGTGAGAGCCCTGGGGCTGTGCTGGGGTGGCACAAAAAGCCTCTTCTGTCCGGGCCATGGGAGCAGCTCAGTCTGACTGCTGCTATCCGTCGGGCAAGGAGAGAGAACAGAAAAACCATCACCTGCTGTGTGTAGATTTGGCTCCAGCGGGCTTTGTTTGGAGGCAGAGTGGCGGAAGTCACCCGAAAGGTGCTCTTTGTTGGTGAGAAAATTAAGAGCAATCGAAAAAGGGAGTTATAAGAAAAACTGTTGTCCAAGCTTAAGTCTGCAGTCATTATCCAACCACATGGCAATAATAGAAACAAGCCAGTCTGAACGCAATATAAACTGGAAAGGTAAACACTTGAAAAGACATTCTTTTCTTCCATCCTGCCCTTTTTTTTCCTCCAATGGTAAACACATTTTAACAAGTGGAATTGCAACATCTCTAATGTTTGTCAATTTGAGCTCAGCCCACACAGCGTTATATTCTGCCCTGTAAATTACAGCTGGTATGATGGCAGATAGAGATGTTTGGTTCTGGGCTATAAACAACCATCTCACGATGCACAAACATGAGAAGTCTGTGAACCTCTCCTGTTGGAGATCGGATTCACTCTGTCCTTAGCAAAGCCAGCAAGCACTGAGATCTGTGTCTCCATGCGCAGGACTGAACCACAGCACAGGGCTGGTTGTGGACAACCACCCAAAAAGGTGAAAAGTAGCTGATGTGCTTCAGGAAGGTGCTTCCCTGCATCAACAAGAGGGCATGGAAGGGATGTTCCATCTGGGCAGTGCGGTGGTGAAAGCAGCTCCAGAAGGTTCTGTGTATTTCTGGTACCCACGCTGTGAAATGGATGATGATAACTTGGAATGGGCACAGAGAAGAGCAGCGGGGATCCAAGGGATGGAAAGAACCAGGATGGAGAGTTAGAGAACTCAGTCTGTTCTGCTTGTTAAAAACAAGATAGGGCAATGAGCGAAGCAGAATGTATAGGATCCCTCCTGGTCAGAAAATGGGTACTGAAATAGTTCTGTGATTTAGCAGAGAAAAGAATAATAAGACGTCAGAAGTTGAAGCCAAAGAAAATTCAAATAGGAAATGTGAGTTTTTTCTTTTTCTTTCTGCTAACAGTAAGGATGATTAACCACTGGAACAAACTACAAAGAGAAGTAGTGGATTCTCCATTGCTTTCATTCCTAATGACTTCATTTTTTCATCTTAAGGAAAAAAAAAAAGGACAAATGCACACATTCTCCATCAGTTATTTGCACTGCATGATTTCGAACAAGGTTGAATCTGACTTGATGTGAGTTTTCCCACTGGGTCAGCCATTGCCACGATGAATTCCTCACTCTGTTGACGCAAATCTGTCCTTTTTCTCCATTTGGCTATGGATGAATAGAGAAATCTAAATCATAAATGGTGCAAATTCCCATTGATTATTCCCAGTAGTGCAGGACAAGCATTAGACTTGTTGGGCAGAACATAAAGCCTGATCAGAAGTGACACTGTTAAGATTGGAGCACTGTTCATTTCTTCCTCAAGTGCTGAAGAAGGAAACTACTTTTCCCAAGGCAGCAAACTCAGTCCTCATGAGAAAAGGCACTTTTGCAAGTTAAAAAGGTCCCATGAACGAGGCCCAGATGTTCCAGGCAGAGCAGTTCTTGGTAATGAATTGCACATGCCAGCCCTGCCCACCAGCCCTGAGCTTCCCAGAGGCTCATCCCCTGCACAGGTGGGACGGCACTGCTGAGGTCCATCCTGGACTCTGATCCATTGCCCTCAGCTCTCTGGAGCTCCCCGACAGAGCTGTAACTGATCGGCAGAGAGCGGAGCCCTGAACGCGTTTGGATGTTCTGGCGTTGGTCCTTTGGGTCAGTGCAGCATCACCACCTGCATTTCTCCGAAGGCGCTGAGGTGCATGGAGGAGGAGCAGCACATCTCTGCCCAGGACAGGCCGTGCCCATAACATCCATCACACCGTGAGGAGATTCCTCCACGCTCCTCCACAGCTGCTCTCTGCTCTCCTCCCCCAGCTGCACACGGAGGCGGTGCTGCCCCGTCCCCGCAGCCCCCAGGCAGGGCTGTGAGCGCTGCTGGGGCTGGGGGTGTCCTGGTGCACAGCAGGGAGTGGGACCACATGGCCTTAAGGGCCCCTTCCACCTCACAGCGTCCTGCAATCTCCGTGCCCATTGAGCCCCTTGCAGAGGAACACGTGTGCACATCATTTGTATCCCAGCAGGGAAAACCTCCTTGCAAACCCCGCTGCCTTCCTCAGCCAACAGCTGGGAGTGTGTGCTCAGCTCGATGGGGGGAGAAACACCCCCAGATGAAGGCTGGGAGCACAGGAGGAACACCGGGTTACTTTGCACTGCTGCCAAGGGGGTCTGCATGGCAGCATGGGACAGATTTATAGGGCACTTCTGCCAAACACTTTGTGAGCCCACAAAAATTCCACGCCGTGTCCCACAGTGCCCGGCAGGACCACACATCTGCTCCTTCTCCATTGTCTGTGGTGGGACATCATTCTCTCCCTCACAACGTCATGGTCAATGGCTTTTATTTCTTGGGCTTGCCCATTTAATTAAGGAGTTGCTTCTCACTCAGAGCATGGGATAAGCAAGAATGAGAGCAGCACGCTTTGGAGACTGAAATAACAACCCAAATGTCAGCTCACCCTCCGTGCCAGCTGTTAGTGCTGAATGAAGTGGTTGCCCTGTGGGTCATGGGATGTCCTGGTAGAACGGGCATTGTTGTGGGTAAAAATGACTGATTTGACATTTCTCAAGTTGCTCCCAGCATTTCTCTTAAGTAAGCCTTTGTGATTTGCCTAAGCAGTCGAAGCTGATGTTAACAAAGCTCTGGGCTGTGCTTTGTGCAGCTCCCTCTGTGATAGATGTGTCAGCAACACTTTGCATCCGGAGAGTGAAACAGTTGCCACACTTTCCCCAGGCTCCGCATGCTGAGGTTTCTTCACATCCTGATATCAATGTGCACATCACCCACCTGACAGCATTTCGTGCACATACAGGAGCTCCGAATTAATTGGCAATCACACCTGAGCTTATTAATCAACACCCGAAAATTAATGACTAGCTAATTTGCACATGTAAACTTCCTTTAAGCGTTAGATAATTCCCAGGGCTCTGCTGATGGACGGGATGCACCTCCTGGCACAACAGCACTGCCTTCTGTCTGCTGTGCTCCATGGAGGCGATGGACCCACCTGGACCCACTGCCCCAAATGCTGCTGCTCATTCCTTGCCACGCAAACAGCAGCAGTGTGCGCTGCAGGGCTGGGATGGAGCCCAGCACAGACAGCAGGAGTGTGTTGAGTGTGTCACAGCCACGTGTGAGGTGCGGACAAGGTGTTGAGTTCAGCCCAGTAGTTCAGAATCAGATTTGCTCAGTTTTCATAGAAATCAGAGGCATTTTGCTGTTTGATTTTTTTTTTTTCCAGCAGAAAAAGATCTGCTTTTTGTTTCCAGATACCAATCAATTTTTCTTTAAGGCAGATCATGTTTTCTGGAAGGTGACGGGGAGCTCTTTGGCTGCCCCGCTTGGGAAACGGTGGAAAGGAAGATAGAAATGGCACTTGGCACCAAGCAGGGTGGGCTCTGTGGCTGCTGTGAGCCAACCCAGCAAGAGGAGCCACAACACCTTGTCCTTGACGGGAGGGATAACAAATGGAGGAAGCTTACAGCACCACGAGGCTGCTGAGGTTCTGGAAGGCGAAATCGGGGATGCGCCAGATCTGGTTGAGCGCCAGCGTCATGGCCTGCAGCGCCGGGAGGCGGTTCAGAGCTCGGACCGGGATCTCCGTCAGCGCGTTGTCGTCCAGCCAGAGGTGCCGCAGGGACTGCAGCCCCTCGAAGCTCTCCTCGGGCACCACGGAGATGAGGTTGGCATCCAGGCGTCTGGGTGGGAGACAAACAGAGTGAGAGATGGATGCAGCACCGCTCGAAGCACCCGCAGCGTTACGCAGAGCTTCGGTGCGGGATGGATCGACGGCCAGGGAGATTGGGGGGAGGAGCACAGGAGGTGCCATGCAGGGTCCTGCCTGCGCTCCCAGGCTCCTGGCTGCCAAGGGTTGGCCCTTCTGACGGCCGTGAGGCGCTGCTGGTGGGTGGAAGCAAAACGGATGGACTGGGTCCTTGGTTCCTTGCACACAGACACAGCAGGTGGGCATGGCAGCACTCCAACCCCACTAAAAATGGAGAATTTTAGCTGTGCTCCCCAGGGCCAGGCTTGCTGTGGGTCCTCCTGCCCCCACAGAGCACTGCCCTGCTCACACCCACGGGATGCACAGCAAACCAAGCAGAGTGGGAAGAGCCCCATTCAAGAGGAAAACGCTTTGCCTGAAGAGGCACCCCGAAGTGAGCAGCACCCAGTGTGAGACCCGAGAGTCGGCACTGCCTGCAGGATGGGGGCAGGAAAACCGGGAGCGAATCAGACCGTATGTCACAGCACAGGAATTAATCCTGTGAGCTCCATATTGCACAAGTCCAGGCCTTTCTTTCCCCTTGATTCACCAATTGTCATTTTATTTTTTTAAATCACGGAATCCTTAAGGCAATTGAAAAGCAGGGATTTAATTTGGTTAGAATCCGTAATTTTTAAGACTTGTTTTTGTTCCAAAACGAAGAGAGAAGCCAAAAGATATTAAGCTCATTATGGGAAAAAAAAGTTAAAGAAATAGGTTTGGGAATCATCTCTCATAAAGATCTCTTATTTCAACAGCAGTGAGGTGGATAAAATGCGTTATCTGTAGATTTCGAAATCAAAATGTAAGAGGAAAACATTTCAGATTTGGACGGACTACCAGGAACCAATTACACCAACGGGGAGAAAACTCAGATTTCACCCATGGCTGACAGAGCCCATCGTGTTCCTCCAAATCACCTGAAGGATCTCTGAATTCAAACACAGCAGGAAGGCGCTGCGCCTCTTATCAAAGCTGAGGGAAGGCAGGGAGCAGCACTGCCTGGCACAGCCTCAGATCCACGGACACCCATAGCAAGATCGTGGCATAGAGGTTCATCTTTTTGGCTACTGAAAGCAACATCTTTGACAAAACCTGAACAATTCAGAACTCGCTTCCTAGAATCCCAGCTCAAGTTCAGTGAGCAGCTCGTTCTGATTCCCAGTGCAGGTTTTTCCCTCAGCTCTCTTGGTTTGCAGTTGGAGCTGTAGATGAGAAGACTCACACACGGAGCTCAGTGTGGTTGCTACAGGGTTTGCACTTTTGCTCAGAACACCAACATGAGGGTGAATGTTTTCACCTCGAGGAGGAAGGGCACGCTGCACATCCTGCCTCAGTTTACCCCATACCACCCAGTTCAGCCCCACTCATCTTCCCACAGATTCAAAAAACAAAGAGAAGGAAAGGAAACCCTGCAGCAGCTCAGGGTGAGATTAAAGAGCCTGTTTGAAAGTTTTCATCAAAATGTTTTGGGACAAACAAGAACTTTTCGACCAAAATTAAAACTGTGGGAAATGTTAATCTTCGCTTAATTTTTCCATTCCTTCTTCAGCATGAGAATTCTGTTAGTTGTTGGCACCACCGTTTGTTTCTCAGAAATAAAAAAGTACTGCTTACTTAATCCCTATATGTTTACTGAAAATTGTTTTAAAGTGAATACTCTCTTTCAAGTTTAATTAATTAAAGAGCAGACAATGAAAATATCTGCTGAGAAGAGTTATAATATTTCAAAACCAAATTAAGCTTTCAGAAATGGAGATGCTGAAAGAGAGCCAAGGGCTGATACCTCGCCGTGAGGTCCAAGATGGGTTCATAACAGTTTAAGAGGGTCCAAAATTGGTTTATGTTGGTCTGAGATGAGCTCACGGTGCTCCAGGATGGTTTAAGATGGGTTTGTGATGGTCCAAGATGGGTTCATAATGGGTTATGGTGGTCCAGGATGGGTTCGTGGATTCACAGTGCCCCCAGTACTTCTGAGCTCTCCGTCCTGCTTTGGCCATGAGCTCCTATGTGAAGCCACAGGAACAATCCAGGGGAATTTGGCCCCAGAGTGATGGTGCCCCAGATGTCAGAGGAGCTGTTAATGACAGCAGATTTTCTCACAGCTGTTTAACATCTGCTCAGTAAAGGCACTTTCTCACATGCATGGTTCTGTAGGTCTCAGAGCAGTGCCAGTGAAGTAGGATGGATGGTGGATTTTTTTAGGGTGTTCGGAGGTACGGAGGTGGATCCCTATGGTAAGTACGGGGGTGATGAGTGAGGTTCATCTGAAGGGTCCATCAGTGCTCCTGCATGGAGCGTGCTGCAGCCAGGCTCTGCTCCATGCCTCGTTATTGCTGCCACTGGGAGGACCCTTCTGAAGGCCAAAAGGAGCCCCACATCTTCTCCCTCTTCACCTCCACCACGGTGGCCACAGTGTGGGTGCTGAGTGGCTGCTGTTGCTGGGAGATGCTGTCCGTCTCCTTCATCCGCTCCAGCCACGTTGTTGCCTCAATCTGCTCCAGGGTGAGCAAGTCAGACCTCAGCCAGACTGAAAGCGAGCATCAATAAGCTGGACATCCCTTCAGATATCACAGCCTGCTGGGACCACAGCCCAGCCCTGCCTGGAGCCAGAGGAGGAAAACAAAGAGCAGGGAAGGGTCCATCTAAAGGCATTTCACCTCTGTCCTGACGGGCAGAGCATTTCTGATGTGCCTTCACAGTGCCCGTGAGGGAGCAGGGAGCAAAGAGTGAGCGTGGCCACGTTCCTGCTACCAAAAGACCTCTGGATTGTTTAATTCCTCCCCGGGGAGTTGCTGGCTCTTTCTGGAATAGAGGTGCATTCTTTCTAATAAAAGCTGTGCATGTGGGGATTGCTAATTGCTATGGCTTTCAGACAGCTCTCCACTCTCTTCTGGAAGGAGAAAAGCTGAAGTTCTTGGCAAGGAGTTGCTAGTAATTATACCAATTTTACTAAACAAAAACCAACCCAACAGTTCTCTCCTTTCTTCAGTGTGTGACTCTGGCTCTGTAAGTGTTTGCTGTTATGATTTATACCTAAGATAATTGGGCTGATTAGCAGGTAAATGGGACGGCGCAGGCTGGGGCTGGCTCCTCACCTTCCACGGAGATTTTTTCCTCTTTATTTCACCAAATCACTCAGTCGGTTTCCTTGCAGCATTAACTCATGTGTTGCTAACAGAAGACGTCTCCTTGGCGGAGCTGCTGGGAGTGGACTTGGTGTGATGCGTGCTCCAAGCAGTGCTGTAGGTCCCCAGATGTCCGCGTGGACAACATTTCCCAGTGACTTCACAGGCTGAACCAAGAGTCAATGCACTGCACAGCTGCGCCCTGATTGGTGCAGGAAGGAGCTGACTTCAAGTGGGACACTCAGGAATGATGGCATATGAAAATCCCAGCAGCTCTAAGCCTCCACTTCTGGCTTCAGGACTGAGTCAGCTACTGCTGGCTATGGGCAGCGAGGTGACCTCAATGCGCTGCCTGGACAGAACAAAAACATCTTCAAAGTGCCCAGATTTTGCTCCTTTGTCTATTTTAAAGCTACTGAGCGTAGACTGCAATACTCTCCTACAGCATCACCACAGCAGGACACTGTGGTTTCAGGTGCCTATCCATCCTCCCAGCATTTCTGCTATATATTTGGCTATTATTTCCCTTGACAAAGTTGGACGAATCTTGCCACCAAAATTCATGGGCAGCCCTGAGTGGTGCTGGGCTGTTTTCCATCCAAACACAGGAGATTCTCTGCACCTTCCCAATCTCTCAGCAGCAACACAAAGAAAAGAAGGTCTGGAGAGAGCTGTGACCTCTGAAAGAGTGAGGACTGTGCCCAGAGAAGCAGGGCTCAGGAAGAGAGCTGCTTTCTGCCTACCCCAGTGTGCATGTGTCTGCTGAACAGAGCTGATCTCACCAGAAACGTCTAATTGGTGCCTTCGGGCAATCATGTCTCTCTTCCTGTCTGAGTTTATCTTGAAAGGCTCAATTGAGTTACCTCCTATCCCATAATAGCATCTGAGTTCCTTGTAGTAATATAAGAAGGAGATGATGTCACTGCAGCTCAGCTTCTCTGATAACTCATAATGAGGATGGCCAACATCTCTGCTCCTCTCTCAGGCAAAGCTCCGGGATGCACTGAGTCAGCGCCTGGCTTCCGAGCTCCTGGGAGCTCGCCGTGCTCAGAACTGAGGGCCCAGCAAGGAAGGATGGCCCCAGGGCTGCACAGAGCTGCTTACAAGGACTCCTGGATCTCCCCAGGTCAGCTCCATGCACGTGGCCCCTCCTGCCGGGCACAGAGCTGGGCACACAGCGGGTCCCAAGCCGTCCCAAACAGCCTCCTGTCAGTAGGTACCAAAAGGGATAGGAGAAGAGAAGCCAGGGACTGCATTGCTAGCTTGGAAAGTAGCTTCAGTCTCTGCTGCCGTTTGTACCTGGTGGTCATAAAGCACTGCACACAGAGGGATGTGCTGGCACTGCTACCCAGACCTGTGGGTGCCCCTCTCTGGAGGTATTCAGGACCAGGTTGGACAGGGCCCTGGGGGCTGACAGCCCTGCCCATAGCTGGGGAGTTGGAATCAGATGACCTTTAAGGTCCCTTCCACTTTAAGCCATTCTATGACTCCAACTTTTCATGTTGTTCAATACAGGAAGCATTGCACTGCAGACCTGCTCCAAAACCAGGCCCTCTGCCCCTGCCGCAGGAGAGCTCACAGCCCTCCAGAAAAGCTTGCAAGAGTTTCCTAGCTCCAGTTCCAGACTAAGAACTCTCTTGATTACCATCCCAGGCAACAAATGAAGGTTTGAGCTGCAAACATGTTCCCGGCCCCTTGGCGAGGCAACAGGACCTGGTGGAAAAGTCTGCAGGGCTCTGTTCGAAACACAGTGAGCCTTCACTCCTGCCTTAATGGGACATGCACCTCTGGGAAGCCCTCCATGAGGGATGCTCAGGAAATGAAATCAGAGCAATACCTGGACTCCACACAAAGTGCCTTTGGTACAGACAAGAGGGCTTTGTTATCTCCAGCTGCAGACAGCTCCAAAACCCCTCAGGTCAGAACCGTGCAAGAAGGACTGCCAAAATCCCTGTGCAACTCTGGAAATTGCTGACAGGCGGGCAGCTGTTGTGCTGATCCCTGCTCTGCCATCTCCCAGGGAGCCTGGCATCATCCCCTGAGCCCATAGTGAAACACAGAAGGGGCAGAAACAGCCAGAGACCAAGCAGAGGAGGTCCTGCATATTTGGTGCTTGCCAAAGAGCTCCTGTGCCTCGCTGGTGGAGCTGCTCCATGAAATCCAATGAAGGAGGCAGAGAGCAAAAGCTGGCACAGCCTACAGCAGCACTGTGTCTTGTACAGAGGACCCAATGTTACATATATGTGCCTAATTTGAATGTGCTGTTCACCTCTTATTTGGTCTGGAAAAGCAGACCGCTCCCGAGGGCCGTCCATCCCACACGGGGCTCTGAGATGCAGGGATGATTCACGCCCTGGAGATGCCGATCGTTTCCCACTGCTGACTGCCTGAGATGAGTAATATCAAGATGGCTAAAGTCAGAGGAGTGAATCCACCTGGTCTGCCTGAGGGAGATGTGGCACAGCAGAGGCTTACCTGAATGGTTGGTAGTGAAGCCATAGAGGATGACTCAGAAGGACTGATTTCCTCCCTGGCAGCACCCATCCACCACAAGGCAAGGACCCAACATTGCAGTCACAGCACAAAGCCATCAGTTCCTGTTCCAGCCACCTGGCTTCCCAACTGACCTGACCCAGTCTGACCACCATAACGCCACGTTCCAGCACGCTGACCTTACAGAGGTCTGCTTCTTCCCATAGCTTTTATCCTCCCATCTCTCAATGGAAACAACACCTTCCTTAAGCCTTCCTGCATCACCTGTGATTTATAGAGATAATTGCTGTTAACAGCAAACTGCTAAATCTCAACTAGATCAAAGATGTGGAATGAGGAATGAATTGACTGAGTTCTTCAGGCTGTGGCGATTCCAAGGTCTTTTTTCCTTCCTTCTGTCATAAGAATTTATATGCTTGTGAGAAACTGATCAGGTGGGAAGCTTTCCTGCTTTGTTTACATCAAAGTCCACATGTTTGCAAATTGCTATAAGTCATTCTTTGCATTTTAATCTCTAGCTGTGTATATGTAACAATAATTACCTGCCTCGAGGGACAGGGGATGAAGCAGTCTGCTGAATTTCCTCAAGATTTCATAACATTCCTGCTAAAGATCCCAGGATGGCAAGACAGGGGTTGGAGGATCCATATTACTTTAGTTAGAGGTGCCATTTAGAATGGAATGGAACGGAGTGGAATGGAATAGTTCAGCTGGAAGGGTCCTTCTGAGCTTCCCCCCAAAGCACCTGTTTCTCTCCCTTGACCTGCTGAGATACAAGGAGCTGAGCTCAGACCCCTCACCCCGCTGACGTCCCACTGCAGGTTGGACGTGTCAGTGTCTCTGTGCCAGCTGTGTCCAGGCTCTGTTCCCAGGCTGCTCGGGGCTCCATGAGCCTGCTCTCTACAGGAGGAGAAAGGAGCTCCAATGGGCCAGGACATCAATGGGAGGATGCCTTTATCCAGCTGGGAGGATCGTGACCGGGTGCTCTGTGCCTCTGCAGTCCTGCCCTGGCTGAGGGACGCCCAGTGCCACCCCCTGCCCAGCTGAACCAGACACACACTGAGCCCCTCTGCACAGTGCTGGGCTCCAGAAAGAGCCAGTTCTTCCCATCACTTTCCATGACTGTTGGGAAAAGAAAAATGAAGAGTTTATCTCGATCCCTTAATCCACCAGCTTTCTTTTCTCTTTCCTTCCTCTACCTCTGCAAGCCTGGTAATTATAATTCATAGCACCTGCTCACTTTGAAACACCTTGGACTCCCTTCGCCTGGCACAGGAACAGACACAGTGCCCATCTCCTGCAGGGAAGTGCTCACAAACCACAGAGTCGCTAATTAGGCTGACACACGACTCAGCACACACACGGCGTGTTGTTCCCGCACCGCACTGCCAGGGCACCACAGCGGGATCAGAGCGTGGCGTGAGGCCCTGGCACCCCTCGCAGGGCTCACAGCACTGCCATCAGCCGTGCGTGTTCCTTCTCATCCTCCCCACGGCTCCCCAGCGTGCTTCCCTGATGAAGGAGCCTCCCCAGCGCCTGGGAGGAAGCTTGGTCTGCAGTCAGTCCCAGTCTCTCCCCGTCCCATGGTGGCATCCCGCTCTGTGCCCCTCATTCGATCTCATCCCTTGAATTTCCTGTTTGTTTCCCACAAACAGAGCTAAGCTCAGAACTGCTGTTCTCAGCTCCCGTTAGTCCGACTCCTGAGAAAAGAGATGAGTATTCAGAACTCCATTTCTCGTGCCCATAGGGTGCATGCTTCCCCTTCAGATCCCACCTCAGCCCCAGAATGACCAACACGGACATCAAACGCAAATATCTGAAAGAGCAAGAAAACAAGCAGCACGCCGTCCATTCCTGTCCAGCAGAGCTGTCTGTTCCACCCCACTCCTGCTGGCTCCCATTTCACCTCCCTGCTCTGCTGCCCACTCTGCCCAGCTGAGTCTCCAACTTGCAGTGCAGACAGTTAATATTCCATGGAGTGCAGGTCCGGTACCCCAGGATCTGTCGTGGTGCAGCGTGAGGCCACTTCCCTTCGGAATGGAAGCAAACAGGCTCTGGGCAATAGGAGCACGCTGGTCTCAGGCAGCCCAACCAGCTGCTCAGAAATCGCGTTGTGGCGTCTTACGGGTGTTCCAGGCTGGCTCATATTTTGGCAACGAATACACGGGAGTCTCATAAGCGTGTGGAAAATGACTCAGATATTAGAAAAATAATAAAATTTTAAAAAAGATCTCTAACACAGACCTCTGCTGGAGGTTCTTGGCCTGAGGTTCGGCAGACAAGTCATGGCAGCACGGTGACATCCAACCAAAGCACCTCAGCTCTGTACCTGCCTAAAGACACAGAGACTGTCCACACTGAGACACTGCTTTTCACACTGGGTATCCTTCATCTGTGTGCAGTGCTGCCCTGTGACGACGGAGCGAGAAGGAAAAGTGTGAACCAGAAGGAGAACTGCAGCCCTGCGAGCAGTGCCTGCCCCTGTGGAGCAGCATGGATGGACACCAGCAGGCCGTGCTCGCAGTGCGTGGCAGAGGTGGGACAAAGCTCAGTGACACACACTGCACCTTCAGAAATGTCCCACGCAGAGCAGGGCTGCGCCTCCCAGCCACGCCGGGCTCCCAGCACCCAGCCGTGGTCCTGCGCCGCGCTCAGATGTCCTCGGGAAAGTGGAGCAAGTGCAAAGCACGGTCATTTTTTGCACGTATTTACACCTCCACCTGTCCCACACTCAGGACACTGCGTGTCTTGGTGATGTGTGATTTCTGGTGGAGTGCTGCAGCACGGAGCTGCTGGAGGTGCGGTTACTTTAAATGACGACCATCATCACGGCTTCAGCTTCGTGCCTGGATCACTAGCAGTGTTTTAAGGCGTCTCCTACTCTGACACAACGGCCCTTTGTGTGGGGAGGACCCCCGTGCTGACAGCTGCTCCTCCTCCGTGTGCCCAACAGGTCCCTGCCCCGCTGTGGTCTGCAGAGATGAGGACAGAACCCTCCTGGGTGGACATTTTCCAGCATTCCTTGAAAAGTGCATTGGCTCTGGTGGCCTTTTCGTCACTATGCACACATGGGGAGCTGTAATTTCAACATCCTTTACCACAACAGTGTTCCTTCCATGAAAACCACCCTCCCTTCAATGCTAAGTGACAGTAATCTTTGCTTTAATTGGAAAAGAAAAGGAAGAAGGGACAGAACATCCTTGACAAAGGAATTAATGACTCAAGTGCTGGGAAGTCCTGCCCCCAAGGGACTGCACAGCTTGCAGCATTGATTCTTAATGACTTACAGAGATTGGAGGTTTGGAAGATCTCTCAGTGCCTCTGCAGGGATGCGGCTCAGCTGATTGTTCTGCAGCATCCTATAATTAGAAAAAAAGGAAAACTTTGTGAAGAACACAAAAGTTTTTCTGACCAAATGGAAGAAGTTGCTGCTTATTTCTGAAGCTGTCCTGGACCCCGGGCAGAAAGCTGGGGCTTTGGCAAGCAGAGTGCTGGTCACCGGGGCTCTCAGGCAGCAGTCCAGGCCAGCCCTGGGTTTGGGGTCCCGGGGGGTTCTGGTGCTGCAATGAGAGATGGATGTGAAGTAAAGGGACCCTTCCAGCACACACGTGTCACCAGTGAAGGGGCTGAGGTGCACTCAGATGGGCTTTCTGTGACTGTGCACCGTGAGGAGCAGCACTGAAGTCAGTTCAGAGCTGTGCCAGCTTTCAGCTTTTCACAGAAAGGCAGCGGGGGTGTCGTACACACAGAGATAAATGGTTCTCTCTCAAAGGAAGGACATCTCGGGGTCTGGGGGTTCACCCCGGAGCTGACATTGAGCACCGCTGCTGAGGGCTGCACGCCTACAAGAGGAGGTGAGCTCACTCTGATGGGGGTCAGCATAAATCACGGCGCTTTGGAGGGTCATGTTTTGATTTCAGAAATTGAAAGGTTATTTACTGGAAGAAACCACACCTGAACAACCAGGAAAATGGTCCCATCACACCAGGATCCTTGCACAAGACAGTCTCAGCAGACTCACAGCCCTCAGAGGTACAGGTCTGTGCATGATCCAGTGTCCCCATCTTGGGAGGCCGAAGTGATTCAGCCAGCACAGTCAAAGGGCTGGTATTGCTTAAGGCAACTGTGCCTGGAGCTCATGTATCAGGCTTACAGACATTCCAACCTCTGCACATTCCTCTTCCCTGCCCATGGGAGCATCTCCCCTGCATATGACACCATTCCCATGGTCTCTTCTGCTCGAACTTGGGGTTGTCAAAGAGGCAGGGCCTATCTCTCAAGCATTCCAAGCCACCTGCAAACCCGCCCTTCTGGGACAAATTGGCCTTCTGGTGACATTTTTGATGTGTGTTCACAAACCCAGCCAGCCGGTGCCTGCCTGCACCACCTGAGAGGCTGAGACTGCAGCTCAGGGTGGGATGCGACCAGTGTGTCCCAGGGGGAAGGGTCCAACCTGCCAGGAGAGGCGGTTTGTGCAGAGCGAGCCCACTGATGCCATGCTCGCTCCAGCCTAGGAGCTGATGGAGAGCAGCCCTGGTGGGTGGTGGCTGCAGGGCAGCGTGGGGTGGGAGCACGGGGTCAGCATGCTTGTGCAGGCAGTGCTGGGCAGCTGTGTGTGGGCATGCTGTGGGCAGTGCTGGGTCTGCGTGCTCCTGTGGGCTGGTTGAGGCTTGCTGAGGAATGGAGCAATGGGGTGGGCCATCCCCGGCTGGCTGGCTGCGGGGGTGCCAGCTCTGCAGCCAAGAGGATGCACCCAGGCATTCTGCCCTCAGTGTTTCGGGGTGAGGCAGGCTCAGGTTGTGCTTGGAATCTTTCCCTGTGAAGTTTAGTGTGGGATCCCTCCTTGGCTTGTGAGTGCTGCCGTTGCTGCAGCATGTTCAGCCAGGAAAACAAGAAGCCTGGCAACCCCCTCTGTGCTGCACAGGGATACTGAGTGAGGGTGGGATGCGGTGTGAAGCCGTGGCAGCACGAGATCAGCCACATGGACAATTAGGACCTGTGCTTCGTGGCTGATGGAGCTCAGCTTGGAGGTGAGGGTCTGGGCTGCTCATGAGGAGTTCTGGAAGGATGGGACAGTTTCCATTCTGCTGCCCTGGAAAGCTCCAAGGATGGGGGAGCACAGACGGAGGAGACAGTTTTGGAGAGAAGTAGCTTGGCAAAGGACAGAAGCAGCCAATGGAGCTGATTTCTAATGATGCTGCCCCTGAAGCATGGATCCTGGACTTCATGGGGAGGGTCAGGGTTGGCCATGCTGCAGAGCAGAGCCCTGGGAGAGGTGCATTCACCAAGTCCTTTTACAAAGAGACATTCCCATCAACTGCCAGCCTGTGCTCAGCTAGGGGAGCCAAAGAGGACACATCTCATCTTGCTTTGGTTTGGGGCAGGCCCAGGGCTCAGTGCATGAAGATCTTGGGCACATTCCTCTGTGTCATGGTGGTTTTTTGATAGCAAAATGCCTGGCTTTTCACTTGCTCTCTCCCACACCTGCTCCCCTGGCTGTACCCCGTATGGTTTCTGCACAGGCCTATCTTTATGGCCACTTTCCAGGTGGTTTCTGTGCGCTGGAGCAGCCGGAGGAGGCAAAGCCAAGAAGCTGGTCCTGCTTCCAGAAGCTCTGGGATTCACTCTGAGGGCAGGGAGAGGACCATCTGCATGGGCAGGTTTGGGAAGGAATTCCCAGGGTGTTTCCCATCCATTTTTAAACAGAAGTTAATTCTCTGGAAAGACCGGGAAAGCACCAGGCCCCTTAACAGCCCAAGAGTTTACTTCTGGGCATGCACATGACTGCAACGAGCTCTAAGGCTCCACTGCATTAAAATTAATTACCATCCCTGTCTCTTTGGGGTCACCCCTGTCACCACAGGCCGTAGCCCTGAGCCCAGTGACTCAGCTCCAAACAGCTGCAGCTCAGCTGGGTGCACTGCCGTGCACTGCCTGGCACACCTCGGCCAGCCGTGACACTGTGCACATCCACAGAGGTGGGCTGTCCTGAATTCCCCTGGTGCCATCTGCCCCACAGCCTGCTAGTCCTGCCATTCAGGTATGGAGAAGTGTTTCCTTCCTCTTTGCAGTGCTGTTTGTCCTTAAAGGATCACTTCCATCCTCTTTCACCTCTCTTTGAGGGCAGGTGACCTCAGTTGCCTCATTTTCCCTTCAATTCATCTTGCATCTCCCCCAGCCCCATTTTCAGCTGCCCACCCCCAGATTTTGCAGTCAGTTATGCCAGCAGGGCACCCCAGAGCCTTTGCTGGCTGTCGGATGGAGCCTGGCACCTCCAGGGGAACAGCCTGACAGGTGACTCATCCTCCCCACATTCACTTCTCCTTTGGTTTCCCATGGAAGCAGCCTGGTTAGAAATCAGCTTGATGCCTCGGCCCTTTTGAAAGTGAGGAGACAGGACGTTCCTCTCTGCTCCTCACTTTTAATACCTCATATCCCAGCATTTCTCTGATCTCTCCTGCCTCATGGGCTTTTCAGATTCCCTCTCCAGATACCTCCTTCAAGATGTGTGGTTTGTTGTTGGAGATTAAAGTGAAGAGAAGAGCACATGACTGCAGGAGTGGTTCTACTGGTCCCAAGGATGTGATCTGGATGGGGAGCAGTGAGGAAGCAGCTTTGGCCACCGTGCCCTGCCCAGTGCAGCTCTGTAGGACATGGGTGCAGCTGTCTGATGCTGCCCAGCTCAGTGTGACCAGTTCAGAGCACACTTCTGTGTGCTGTGCAGCTACACCAACTTACAGACCTCCAGCACCTGGTTACATCTCCAGATCACCATCACAGTGACAAGAATATGAAGGTGAATGCTGTTTCTGGAGGCAGCAGGGACTCAGTGGCTGGAGTGAACTCATAACTACAAACACCAGTGACCACGCTCCTGTGGGGTTACAGACAGCAATTAGAGCAGGAGCACACAGCAGCCTGACATACCCTGCAAAGCTGGGCAGCAAAGACTCGAGGCTTTGGAAACTGAAGGGCTGGCAGTGCCTTTCTTTTTGGAAGCAAGAACTGCTCTCAATGAGACATTCTTTGTGAGCATCAACCCCTCCTTCCTTGTCTTGGAGCTGGGTTAGTCCTCTGCAGACCTCCATGGGAAGCGGGGGGCATAAATGTCGGGCAGCCCTGCAGCCAGAGGGGTTGGTATGGCAGCCCAGTGGCCACTCTGTGTCAGGAGCACAGCCTGGCTGGGGGCAGGGCACGCTGTCAGAAGCAGAAGTCTTGGGCTCAGCTCCATCTGCAGCCCTTCTGCCCTCTCCCTGCACAGAGCTGTCCCCGAGTGCAGGCAGGCATCACACAGAGGCAGCACACTGCTCTCATGACTGCAACCTGCAGGAGCTGTGCTCTTACGTTCTGCATCAGTAGTTCCCCAGGCCTGACACAAATAGAAATTGATCAAAAGCGGCTTTAAAAGCTCCCGAGTTCCTGAAGTAGAAAGTTCCTCTTGTTGAAATTGGGTGGGAGAGCTGCGGTTTTTCCTCGGTTCCTTTGATTTGTTGCCTAATGCAGGGGATGGATAAATCTCTAAGCCCTGAGATTTAGGGCAGGATTCATACTTTACATCTTCAGAAGACACAGTAAACAGCCCTATACTCTCTAATCCCGGAGCAGGTTTGTACCTGTTCGCTCTGTATAAACTGGACCGGCTACAACAATTTCACGTTGCGGCTGAGTTCAAAACATCCCTTTGGGGATGAAATGTTTATTGCAGGAGATTTTTAAGATGGTTCCTGAAAGAGAGGAAGAGGGACTCCCAGCTGAGTACCCTGCACAGACCTGCAGGATGCAAGAAGTGTGACTCTGTGAGCAGTGAGACCGCCCTGGGCTGTGGAGCCATTCCCTGGGGAAGAACTGGCTGGTGGCCTTCATCCCTCGGAGCTTCCTGAGGGAGCAGTGCCAGCCCCTCCCCAGCGGACAGGCAGAGGTGGGGTGGTCACTATGATGTGCATTTCCTGGGGTTGGCAGTTCTCAGGCACAGCCATGATGGCTGCGGAGCTCCAGGACCCGACCGTGTGGGTCCACATCACCCCGAGACACCACATCTGGGGGACATTACCTCGGGGGATTTGGGATTTACCCAAAGGGGAACTTCTGCAGGTTTTCCTGCAGTGCATTTCCACGTGGCGGGGAGGGCAGCGCCATGGGTGTGCTCATAGCAGCAGTGAGGAAGCAGTGCTGGGGACGTGTGGTGGTGCTTGGGTGGGTGCAGCTCCTCAGCCACCCAGGGACACATCAGCCACTGTGTGTTCAGCAACTGGCACTGCAACGCCTGGTAAAGTTGCATTCTGCAAGCCTCAGTGCATGGCCAGTGCCTGGCACAGGGTGGTGGGGGCAGGGATGGTGGTGCAGAGGGGAATTAATTACTTACAGAATCTTCAGGCTGTAGAGGCCAGAGAAAGCTTCCCCTGGGATACTGGAGATCTGGTTTCCAGAGAGGCGTCTGCAGTGAAAAGAAGAGCCAGTAATGCATCAGCATCCTTGTCATGACAGCCCCTTGTCTGCAGACTTCACAACTGATGCATCTCGCTGCAGCCTTCCTGGTGTGTGACCCCACTCTGTTCCCAAAACCAGGACAGAAAAGGAAAAGGGCTCTGGAATGAAGGCAAGGATGGGGCAGCGTGGGCTGGGGAAGGGATTGATGTGAAGGGGTGGGAGGGGCAGAGGGAGTGCAAAGCAGCCTCACAAATGAGAGCAGGACCACCAGGCTGACGGCACAAAGAGCAGGGGACAGAGTTCAGATGCGAAACTGGCTCAGTGACCTGATTCTTAATCCCAAATTATTCTGGTGTTTGTGCTTTACTTTCTGATCCTCCTGTGCTCAGACAGGTTGGACTTCCCATAGACACGTGGTAAGGAACTTGCTGCTGGCCACATGACTCGAACTGGAATATTGCATCCCCCAAATGAGACAGTGAACATCATTTGTGATCAGGCGAATCTTCAGTCTCTCAGAAACTCCGAAGCAGACCCAAGAGGCTGGCACGGATACGAGGAAACAGGCTGTATTATTCATGTAACATTGACAAAGCCTGTTTCCTTTCAGATGTTTTGGCTGTGAAGAAGACAAGTGCAGGGGATGAGCAGCATAATCCGGGCTGGAAACAGAGCATGTTGCAGTGAGGACTGCAGAGGTCACGCAGAGGATCTGAGCCTTTGGAGGCGTCGCGCTCCCCGTGGCAGAGCAGGCTCGTTGGGTGCCCAGCTCCCTCCTTCCCCGTCTCTCCCCTCGGGAATCCAGAGAAAATTACTGCCGTAATTAGGCCTCTGACAGCATAAACAGCACAGGGTCGTCCCTTTAATGTGTGAGAGCAGGTCGTAACCTGCCTCCTTGCAGCATGCAAGCTGCCTGGCAGGCTGGGCTATTTGTCACTTGGGGGCTGTGATTTGGGGTAATTGCTTCTTTTGATTGCTGATTTCCACATGGGAGGGGTGTTGGCCGGGAGGCGGGGAGGTGTTCCTGCACGGATCCTCGGCCGGCTGCCCCAGCTCCGCTCTGGGGTCCGTCTGTCCTCGGAGCTCCTGTCTGCCCCTGCTGCAGCACTGCGGTGTGTCAGCGCCTGCTCCCGACGTGTCTCCTGGCTGCTCTGAGCCCTCTGTTGATGGTCAGGTGGTTGCAGGACTCACTCCTGCCTGCTGGATCCCTAAATGGAGCTGGGACCCCCAGGACTGGCAGGACAGGAGCTTGTGACTCTTGGCTTGGAGCAGGGTGGCAGGGAGACGTGCTAGGTCAGCTTGCAGCATCTCAGTACCACGATAAAGCAGAACTTGGGGTTAAGGAGACCTGTGGGAGGTTTCACTGGTGCTGCCCATGGGCGAATCCAGAGGCAGAGCATTCCCAGCTCCAGGAGAGGCAGCCATGTCCCTGCTGCTGGTCCTTGGCTCTGCCCCGTGGGCGCTGTGCCATTTCCCAGCTCACCTCCAGATCTTCTCTCCTCTGCTTTTGCCTTCTTCCCAGCACCAGGCATGCAGGTGTCCCAGGCAAGGGAGCTGTGCCATTTCTCTGGATGTAGGCCAGGAACGTGTTGGTCTTTTGGGGCATCCTGTCCAGCAGTTCGCCGTCACCTGGCAGTCTCCCTGCTGCTTGGTTCCTTCCATCCCTCTCGCTCTGACTGCCCACAAATCTCCCAGCCCGGCAGGGAGGCACCCACTGAACACATCTCCAGAGGCAAAATTCAATAGAAAATCCACTGAAATGATCATTTCCTTCCTATTTAAAAGGGAACAATAACATTCAAAGTGATGCTGCCAGTGTGACTTCCCTTGAGACAGCTCTTCATTTGCTTTTGAGGCCCAAAGCAAAAAACTCCGCAAGAAAGGATCAAGAGGCAGCACTGCTTTGTGCACAGGGGAAGGGGAGCTGCTGTTGCAGCCATGGACGTCTGACCCACAGCACAGCTCCAAGCCTGCTCAGGTCTCTCTTTAGGATTGGCAGTCTTGATTCATCTGCGTGCCCTTCTGTCACGCTTATAAAGTGAGATGGATTGGCAGGAAGGGAAAACTGCATTTAAAATGACTGATGGAAGAGGGAGAGAAGGGGCAGGTGGAAGGTGAGTGGGAGCTGCAGTTGGCTGACTATCTTTGGAAAGCTTGCGTGTTTGGTGGATTTTAGATTCGGTTCCCCTCCTTTCCCCCCTCCAGTGACTTCTGGGAACATTCCTCCAGGCTTTGATCTGCATTCCCAATACACTCCAAGTTGGAACAAACTCATGGTTTACCTCTTCATGGTTGCTGTAGTTCAGTTACCACAGGCTCCCACCCCCTCCCGTATCTCGGGCTTCTTGGTCATGCTACAACTTCATGGCACGCCCAGAGGCTGTTTGTTGGGCATGATTGCTCATGTCATGCGCTCAGACAACACGATGATGCCCTTATCGTTCACATTAGGAGGCAGGAACATTGCCCATTGGCAGGACAGGATGAACACACATGTCCATATCCCAGTGGAATTTTCCCCTTGCCAGATCATTAGCGTTCATGTCAGTCTTCCTCTTTGATCTCCTGGTTCATTTCTCAAGCTCTAATATTGTCAAGGCAGAATCTCTTCCCAGATAAACCCTCTGCACTCCTGTCTAAACAGTGTCATCATGTCAAGATCGTGCCATCCGCCAGGTGCATGGGGGACCACGGGCTCCATGTTATGCTTGAGTTTGTTCTCATGCTGGTGCAAAGCAGGAATTAAGCCAATTAAGTCATGCAAGTGAAAACATGGTACATTTGAGGAAAGAGTCAGGCTTGGACTCTCCCTTCCCACACAGGAATCTGCAGCTGGTCCTGCTGCGGTATCACCTGGAGGTGTCTCCAACATGGTCTTACTGCTTTACTCCATCCCTGAGGAGAGACTCAGGCCTGTTTCTAACCCAGCTCCCCATGCCCCCACCAAATGCCTGTTCCAACTCGATAGATTGATGGCATTCGTTTCTTTTGTTTATGGTCCTCCAGCCAGTTTTCAACCCACACGAATGTTCGTATGCAAGCTAGTTTGGATTCATTTGCCAAGGAAGATTTAGTAAGACAGTTCCTTATTGAACAGCCCAATACAGGACACAGACTACCTTCGTTTTGTCCCCGTACGTCAAGGTTTTCGGAGGGGATTTACCCCCTTCAAACCTTTAGAATTTGAGTCCAATCTGTGTGCCTCACTTGGGATCCCCTCTGGCAGTCGGTGGTTTGAGGACCACTTACAGGAACACGAGGGGCAGAGATTCTCCCTTGCAAGGATTTTTCAAATGCTGAACTCCATCCCCAGCACAAACGGAGGAGAAAAAGAACAGAAATTTCAGTGCTCCACAACATTTTGAACTGGACTTGGGGCTCCTCAGTAACATTTTTCAGTGCGCACAATGGAGAAGCCCTTGGAAGTCCTGTTCTCCTGTCTTCACCTGTATCTTGGCCAACATCTGCCTCCACACCACGCAGATTGCACAGCGGTGACTTTTGGAATGCTTCATAGGAGGAATTATCCTTTAATCCTCTCCATGCTGTTGCTCACCCGCTGCGCTGATGATCAGTGCTGTCCTCTGCCAAGGAGCAATGGCAACCAGGAGAACAGAAAGTGCTGGATGCGCCAGGGCTGGGTGTCTTGTCTCTAATGAGCTGCAGAAGAGCCCCAGCACAGCGCTGGGTCACAGCATCCTGCTGCTGTAGGCACAGAGCCTGCAGTGCCCTGGGGAAACACAGCACCCAAACTGCAGCGCTGTGCAAGAGCTGCCTGGGAAGGGGAGACCACAGCTCCTGCTGCTCCTGGGTCGGGGCACGGCGCAGCACTGCTCCTGGATCAACGCACAGCACGGTGCTCCCCTGGATGCTGAGTCCCTCGGGGCCCAAGAAGAGGCAGGTGAAAGAGCCAGTGGCTGGGAAGGGGTCTGATCTTGCCGCTGTGCCCCGGAGCAGGAGGTGAATGGCAATGAACACCTGCCTTTGGCTGCAGTTTCTCCTCTTGGCACCAAGCTCTCGTGTTTGGATTCAAAGCCTGGTAACAAAGCCCTTGCCGGTGAACACATTTCAACATGTTGTTATTCCCAGGCCGGCTTTCAAGATCCTCTTTCTATTCCTTCTCTACCGATTGCTCTTGTTTCTCTTGGCACCCAGCTCTGGCTTTTCAGGCTTCATTAACTGGAATTTATTAGCAACTTTAAACGTTCTTCCCGCTGCCAGAAAGAAAGAAAAGGGGAAAAAAAAAGAAGAAAGAGAGAAACAAAAAGGAGATGTAGGAAACTCAGGGCAGCTCCCATCTGTGTGAGGCCCACAGTGAAGCACCTCTCTGCCTCCAGAGGGGAGGACTGCAGGGAAGGGCCCATGCATCCCTATGGGCCTCTGCTCCATCCCTGCTGAGGTGGCTGTGATGGACACTTAGCAGTGTTTGTCCTCAACTGCAATGGGAGCAGGCAGCCCATCTGCTCCTCTAGGCAGCCTTCCTTCCCCAGTGTCACTTTCTGTCCCTCACCCGAAGCACTGACTGCCCCATGCACAGCCTGAGCCAAAGAACATCCTGAGCCAGAAAGGACCGTGAGGACCATTGAGTGCAGCTGCTGGCTCAGCTGCTCCCCACACCTCATCCTCCTGACCCTTCCCCATTTCCCTCCTTCGGGTGCCATCCCCTATCAGACCCGATCAGCACAATCTAACAGAAGGCTGAGGCTGGAATTCTCATTCTGCTCCACCATCCCTCCCAGGACGATGTGATTCCGTATGTGTTCGAGGCCAGGAGTGACAAAGAGACTTCGAGATGCCTCTGAGGATTACAGGAAAGTGAAAGCAGAAGATGCCAGCTAAGCTGCAGTGCTGGTCCATGACAACCCTCTGAATAATACACACACACAGTTGCTGGCCAGGTGCTGTTGTTGAAAGGGTCACTTTTAGTTCTTCCTATTATACGACAATCTTTCTCACTACATTGATTTCAAACCGATTGCTCGCTGTCCATAACCATGACTGCAGCCTTTTACCACGTGATTGAAGTGTGAACTTGGATATGTACAGATACAAAACATCACAGTTTCCATTTCTCCTTATGGCGGTGATTTTTTCCTACTCAAAACACCTCTACCTTCCCAAAGAGCAGTTGTGGCATTTGGAAACCCCAGTGAAATGTTCTTTAACAACTTCCAATTATTTTTCAAATTTTCCTGTTTAATTTTTCCCTCTTGATTTGTGTCATTCATGATTATTTTTGGCTGTGGGAAGCTGGCTCTATTGGAGTCTATGAATATTTATTCATTGCTGGTTTAGACTGTTCCGTTTGTGCATGACTTGTAATCAGGACATGATTGCTTGCAGCAAGGCAGCCATTAATTGTACACAACAGAGAGTGTGGTCTGTGTGTGAGAATCTGTGAGGCTTTGGGTGTCCACACTGCAGTGCAGGCGTTGACAAAATGGGAAAAAAGGGCTGCAAGATGGAGGCAAGACCTTGGAAAATGCATCTCCTGAGGGCAGCACGAGAGCAGAGCTACAGAAGGGTGGAAAAAATGAGTCCTGCCCACCTTGGAAATGGGAGGTTGGGAGTCCCTACAAGCATAATTAATGCAAGAGACAGAGAGATGAAGAAGATGGGTTTGAAGACCATTTGAAGATAAAAGTCTCTGTCGCAATCTGATCATTGTGAGATCAGGGCTGTTATGGGAGCAGTGGATGCTGGTACCTCCTCTGGGCTCTTTGGTCAACACTGACTGTTCAAAGAAGCCAACCTGCAAACGTGCAGCCACAGATCAGCACAGATGAGCACAGGGAAAACCTCCTGCTCACAGCAGAGCTGCTGTTTGTTACACAGCACTGATGATTTGGGGTCACTGCTTCGGGAACACAAGCACAGGTAGCAGAGCGTGGGATGGCGTCGCTTATTGCCCCTCTGGGGTACCTGAATGCCTCAGCATCACGCTGACATTACTGGTAAGGGATCCAGCATTTCAAAACCTGCCCTTTTCAGAAATATCTGTCATCTCCACTGTTGGCTATGAGAGGGGATTCATACAGTTAAAGTGCTCCATTTAGACACTAAACTGTTTTAAGTGTTACATACACCACAGGTTTACACCACGTACCTCAAATACAACATTAATATCAGTATTTCTTGCTATGTAATAATGATGTTTTGAAGGAACTGCATTTTTCAGCAGAAGGCATTGCACAGAAAGGAGCAAAAGCATGAGAACAGCACCCGGAGGTGTTTCTCATGGTCAAGTGGAATACAACCATACGAGGCCAGCCTCAGCCTCCCACCCCCCAAGGCTCGGACTGCTGGGGCCCCCAAGGGCCGCCGTGGTTGCTCATGCTGGTGGTTAATTTCACACTTTCAGAAGCGCGGCCACTCCTTTGCTGACACACAGCCACGTGTGGATCCCTGCAGACGGGGCGGCCGCTCTGCCTGCCCTCAGCACAGCTCTGCCTGCCCTCAGCACAGCTCTGCCTGCCCTCAGCACAGCTCTGCCTGCCCTCAGCACAGCTCTGCCTGCCCTCAGCACAGCTCCGCACGCACTGCAGGACAGCCGTGCTCTGCTGCGGGCCGTGGGGCTCCCAGCTCCACCTCACGGCTGCCCCCGCCGCTGGGTGCCAGGAGCTCCGTGGCTTCGGCTGCAGGGCTGCAAGGGGAGCTGCGTGCAGACGGGTGGACGAAGCTCCCTGTTTTCTGGCCCTGCTCTGGGGCTGGTTTTTGCGTGACGGATCGGTTCTTAAGCTCCGGCATTTGGCACACGCAGCGTAGCCTGAGGTGCATCCTGACCCAACCCCACAGCAGGATTAACCCCGGCCCAGCACACAGCCCCCATCTCAGCCAGGGGTCCTGGCAGAACCACGCAGCCCCCAGCGCAGGACCCCCGTGTGGGTACTCACAGCTCCTCCAGGAATTGCAGGCGGCGGAAGGCGCTGGGCTGCAGCTGGCTGATGTTGTTCATGCTCAGGTCCCTGTGGGGAAGAAGACATTGCCAGGTGAGTCCCACTGCAGTGTGCACAGCATAACTCCGTGTGCTGGGCTCCGCTCCTCCACTGAGACAGAAAGCACTTCAGTGAGAGAAAACCCCGCACAGCCCGTCTCAGAGGTAAAGCTCAGTGCTGGTAACCACTCAAAGGGAGGGAGAGCAGCAAGGTGTATTTCTGTTCACATTGTTCTCTATGCCACTCCATGCCCTATATTTGGATGATCCCGTGGTGTAACAAAAGGGTTAAATTATTAGTTTGTGCTGCTGCTATTTTTATTTTTAAATCCCCAAGGGCAGTTGCTACTTAGCACCCATTAAAACATCTTTTTTCCCTGCATCAAAGCGCATCGTGTTTACACTGTAATGAATCAGTCTGATGTTTTGACACGTCGTGAAACAATGCAAAAATAACAAAACCAACAAAAAAAAAAAACACAAAATGAAAGGCTATGAAACAAAACACAGACCTGAAACATTCAGTATCTCCTGGAAATTCTGCAGCCTGCTCCTCGAGCTGCTTTCTGCTGGCAATGCGGGCAGCACTGCTTGCTCCCTGCAGAAGGCACTTCTCCAATCTCATATAAAAGCACCTATCCTGACTCCTTCTCACCTGCACCTCAGTCAGTACCCACACAGCCTCAGGAGGAGGAAAAGCACACTGCTTTCTCAAGCAGTCATCCAGATGTCAGAGGAGAAATACCCTCACCCATCCCTCTGCTCTCCTTGCCTTGCCTCCCCAGGGCTCCCATCTGTGTTCAGGCCAACAAGAAGGGGCTCTCCCCCATCACCTCTTAGGGCAGAAAGAAGACAGATTTTCGTGGCACAGGGAAGATTTAGGGTCATTTTGTTACAGATATGTAAATCTCTGCTGCTGTGGGGGTTTGGATGCTGTTCGTTCGTCCACAATTCTCCTGCAGGATTCAATCTCAACACATTTTTTTCCACAGGTCATCCACCCTTGTGTGAAGGCACAGCATTCCTGCCTGAAGCGTTGCTGGAGTGACTGTTTGACTTATTGCTCATATCAGGATGTTGTTGACTTGTTGCTTGTTTTCCCAAGCTCGTGCTTCTCCTCTTAGTAACGTTCCTTGCGTTACGTACAGCCCAGCACATGTAAGCATGGCAGTGCTTCTGTTTGGGTGAAAAGGGCCGTCCGTCTGCTCAGGTGTTTGGGGATGACTCTCCAGTCAGCAGCATTCAGCTCATTTTAAAGGAAGCCATTGCATCCGAACCCTTCTCAGGATTACTTTTTCAGGCACATCCACGCAGGGTTTTGGGATCCGTGGATCGCAGGCTCTCCTGATGCTTCTCTGGTCCTCCAATGACTTTGTCTCCCCAAAATAGCTCTCTCGTTTAAGTCTTCAGCATCTACTGAAGTCAAACAAACATTGGGTTCAGCAGCCTGCCTGGTTGCTTCCCTTTGGGTCCAGGACACCACGCAGCTCTGGTGCAGTGGGACATGCCCCTACCATCCCAGCCCAGAGCTCTCCTGCTCCTCTTTTCCCAACCACCTCCTCTTTGCCCTCTCCACAAGGTACAGAATCAAAGCAGGACACCTGCAGTCCAGTCACATCGTGTGGCAGCAGTATGAGCCGCTGTCAGAGAAGTAACACGAGCTCCCAGAACCAAGATGTGGCTCTGCATCACCTTCATCCACCCACAAGGCGAAGTCTTTGAAGGCCACGAGGTGCTCAGGTTACCTGCGCTTCCCAATGGCGCTGAACCAAAGCCATCATGGCTGTAATTAGTGTGATTTAAAACCGCCCCCCGCTCCTTCCCCAGCTCATCCTAAGCATTTATCAGACGCATTTCTAACTTGTACCTGCAGGAAAACTGAGACACAGTTCATGGAAACTGAGCCCATGTGATTCAGCCTCAGACCTTACAACTCCTCTGGCCTTCCAGGGGTTCCTTAAATTATTTGCTTTGATGTCACCTTCTTTCATGAGCAACCTTTGAGCATTCACTGATGAGCTGATCTCCTTTACCAAAGAGAGTGACGTGACACACAGCACGCTTCGGTTCTCCAGCAACTGCTCACCATGGCCTCTACAAGAGCTGTGATTTGGGCACTGCAGCACTTCAGTTCGATACGATAACGAGATTTAAAGAGCAAAGCAATTTAGCTGTGGCATAATCACTGGGGCAGGTGGGATGCCAGGAGGTCACTGCCCAAACTGAGCAGCACTTCCAGAAGTCAGGGAAACAGACTTTGATCCACTTCTGTAAGGGAGCGAAGTGACCCCCAAGAGCACAGTGACTGCTGTCCTCAGGATTGAGCCTTCTGGAAGCTATAAGAACCCCAAACAGCGACCATCTCCTCGAGACCTAAAGATCGATCCACTCTACCAATATCTTTCCATTTTTCAGGAAGCTCAGGATTTTGGTGGGATGTTTGCCAGCACGAACTCAACCCCAGGTCCCCTCAGTGCTGGTGCTGATCACTCGAGTTCCCTGACCATCACACAGAGCTTCCTTACACCCAGGCATCTGAGCAGAAACATTTAAGATTACTGTGGGGAGAAGCCAACAAGCCGGTATTCTCTTGATTAATTGATTACACAGAAACACATTAAAGCCTCCCAGTTTTGGTCCTGCAGTCTGATTTCTGTGGGAGCTGTACAAACCAGACCAAAATTCCCATGCTTATCCCTGAAAGATCTAGCACTGGACCTGCTCTTGCACGGCACGGAGCGCTCCTGTCTTGCAGAAATCACCTGCAGATGAGCAATATCTCCACCAATCTTCTGGCCACTCTCTTTAGCATCCAGTGAAAAAAAAAAGCACAAATAAACCACCTTTAATAAAGAAGCCCCAAGGCAATAAATGATGGTTTTTATAAATTCTTCAGATTGTACGAGAGTGATTCATAAAGGTTCTTGTTATCTCCTCTCCTCTGTATCTTGAGATCTCCGAGGCCACCACAAAATGCCTGCACTGCTTTGGGTAAAGCTGAGGCTGCAGAATGAATGGGACTGAAAGCCATAGAGCCAGCTGAATTTTTTTCCCAAAAGCCTGCAGGTTGCAAACCATGCTAAAGGTAGTCTTGGTGGAGAAAAAGGGCAGGTAAAGAGATCAAAGCAGCAAGAGCTCGTTTGCACTGCACCATATCTGGAGGCAGCAGCCCCGCTCCAATCCCCTATCGCTGCAATAGGCAAAAGCAGAATGCGTTTCAACTCCCACCTCTACAGTTTGAAAACAGATCAGACATCTCAGATCACCCCCCCATGTAGGCCCTACCTGAGATCTCCACGCTGTTTCAATAATAAAGGTTCCACCAGGAGCAGCTTGGCAGGGTGAGATTCAGCCCATCCCCACCGGTCGGCTGTCAGAAGTCTGTGTACCAATGGCCCACGGCTCTCATCAGCCCTCACCAATCCTCTCCCAACTCATCCCATTGCTGCCCCAGCTCTGCTCGGTGTTCTGCGGCCTCCGTGCATGGAAGCAGAAATGGGCTGAGCAGAGGAGGTGGCACAGCTCTGTCTCTGCGAGCAGACAATAAGAAATAACCCTTTGAAGCCATCTGACAAGCCAGGGCTGTGAATGAATGCTGACTGCTTCTCAGAGACAAAACTCGAATGTTGCCAAATGGATTCCTGAAGGCTTTTCTCCTATTTCAGCCATGTAGGTTAAGGTGTTTTTCAGAGCACATCCTTTGGGCTCAGTGCTGCTATCCACATCCTGCAGACAGCCTCCTGCCTGCATCTCAGTGCCACCCCTGCCATCCACATCCTTCTTCAGACTGCACCAAGTGCATTCCAGTGCATTAGGCCCCTCATGTCCTGGGGGAGCACAGCTGGGAGCCTAAGGGAAGGCTGACAGTCATAAAATGCTTGGGCTGGAAAGGATCCCTGAAGATCGCCTCATCCAACCCCTGCCCTGGGCAGGAGGGATGAAATAAAGTCCTCCTGGACACTAGCATGCCCACACTTAACCTCTGCCCGTTCGAAACCCCACACATCTGGGGCATTCCTCTCCTGTGCACGTGTTCCCCCACTGCCAGCTGCTCCCCCCAGCTCTGCTCAGGAGTCCCAGGCAGCAGCCCTGCTCCATTTACTTCCAGACCTACAGAAAGGGGATGGCAGAGCCCAGGGCTGGCAGAGAGGAAAGTGATAGCCTGCAAACGACCAGAGACACACACAAAAACATGCTGCTTTATTTCATTTTGAGAGGACCTGGCAGCCCGCAGTTACTCCTGTTAGTTCTCCGTCTGGCAAGAAATCAGAGAGCAGACCTGGCAGACATCATGGTCACACACAGCGTGCCACCATCAGCAACAGAGCTCTGAGCTGGGGACTAAACCAGGGGAGCACCCAAAGAGCACCCGGCCCACCCTGAGAGCTGCACCTCAGAAATTACAGCAGCAGGGCAGAACGCCGTCCCCAGACCCAAACACAAGGTGTACACACAAACCACAGCACTGGAGGAGATGCACCGCTGAACCTCAGAGGGGTTCGTCTGACACAGATTGGAAAAACTCATTCAGAAGGCAGGGAGATTTTACAGGAGAAAGATTCTGATGTATATTTTCAGTTGGAAGCCTCAGAAACTCGGGTTGGAATGCTTTAAGCCGACGTCAAAACATTTCATTCACTAAATGCCAAGCCATGAGAACGCAGTATTTAATTACATACATTATCTGCATGCATTAACCTAAGGTTGAACGTGGAAAAAAAAAAATCAGAAGCAAAACAAAACCCAAACTGAAACACAACCTTTCACTTTTACAATATGTTTTCATTCAAAAAAGATTTCAACCACAGCTGCACACTGCCTGAAAACGGGCTTTGATGGAGAACAGCTTTTGCTGGAGGTAATGAAAGATTTTGTTTCCCCATACACCACCAGCACTGCTGCTGCTGCTCACAAGGAGGGACTCTGATACCAGGGGTGACCACATGCAAGGGCTGGCAGAGGGAACAGGTCTGCATTTACACCAACTTCCTCTCCTTGCTCGTCACCCCTCAGCTTTCCAAACACTGATGACAGCACTGCAGCTGCACACGCCGTTCTCTCACCATCAGGAACCCAATTAATTGGGAATGGAGGATTCTGCCTGATTTGGCACTTCTGGAGTGGCTCTCTAAAGTTCCTGGAAAAGCACAGGAGCCCCACTGGCAAGAAATAAGAGGACAAGTGTTGGTGTGAGGCCAGTGTCTTCATGCCTCCTGTTCCTTGGAGCAGACTGACAGCTCCAGAGATCACAGATTTCTGTTACCCAAGAGGTGAAGAAAGAGCTCAGGTCAGAGGAAAATGAGCTGTTAAAGTGCCAGCGGCAGGCTGAGAGCTTTCTGCCCGGATCCCTGACCTCGTGCAGAGGGAGTGCTTCTCCCGTAGAGTCAGACAGCTCCATGCAGACAAAGCATCCCCAGGGGGGTGAAGGTCTCAGGTGGGATTTATTTCTGCTGGCAAAAGGCTGCAGAGGAGCCACATCTGTGCCTTGGCTGCACGCAGCCCTGCACCTGTGTCCTCTCACCACGTCGCAGCCAACCCTGTATTCCCCCCATCACATCTACCACAGTGGCTGCAGTGGTTCACTGAACCCAAACTCTTTTTCAGACTCGGCACTCCCAAAAAACCCCTCACACCTCGTTTTGCTCCAAGTGCTTCTTGCGTCTTTTAGACTCCCATTACCCTTTCCAGCCTCCGAGCGCTCAGTTGGGCTACAAGCACACAGTGCACGCGCAGATATATGCAAGCACCTGCAGGAAGCAGCAGGGATGTCTGTGCAGTGGGGATTCTGTGCAGCACACGTGTGCTGAGAACCACCAGCCTCAGCCTGCAGATGCGCAGTGCTGATGAGCACAGCCTGTCTATGGCCTCTGACCTGCAGCTGTGTCAGCCTGGGAGCTGGCAGGAGCGGCCCTGGGAGGCAGCACTCATTGGGAAACGGTCCCCAAGAATGCTGGCACTTTGGCCATTGCCACGTTTGGTTTGGAAACACTTTGTGCTACAGAAGCCTGTTTAAATGGCACTTCCTACACGTTCCCAGCCAGCATGGCCAACCAGCAAAGACAATTCAGCGTCATAAACAACCCAAAGAGCCAAGGATGTGTTCCCATGCCTGAAATGAGCGGAAGCTCAGTTGTGGTGTCTCTGACACTGCTGTGGTGCCAGCTGTGTTGCAATGCTGGCCGGCAGACACAAGAAGGTGGGCAGCTCTGAATGCTCCCATCTGGCTCTGCTGTATTGCCAGGCAGAACTCCTGCAGCATCACCATCCTGCTCATACAGAGCCACTCTGTGAGGTCACCCTGGTCTATGGCAACAGCAGGTGAGCTGGAATCAGCTAGGAAACCAGCCCAGATATCAGCTTAGAGTCAGCACTGAACAGCAGCCCCCCAGGCCTTGCCTATACCAACCCACAGCTGCAGATGACCTGAGGTGTCCTCACACTCACCTGGACTTCCAGCCATCACACCAGGAATCTCCATGGGTCTCTCAGGCAGCCACTGCTCAGGGAACAGCACCCAACCCAAAAGGTCTTTGCAGATCTTTTGGTCTAGCAAAGAGAGGCAGCTGGGTTTGACTCTGAGCTGATGGGAGACCTCTCAGGTGGTTCTCATCAGATACAGCACACAAATCAATAGAGTCTGATCCTCCCCCCACACAGGGAACACTCAAGAGACAAATAGGGAGGAGTTGTTGAAGGTTATTTATAACCTTCTGCATTGTATCAAAGGTTCACATGCCTTGTTATGTCGTTAGAGCTCATTTGCCCGTGCATGGCAATGCTAAAGATGCTGCTAATTGCCTCATTGCCTGTCCTACCCCCAGAAGAGAGCTGCCCACAGTAGAAATGAAACACGTGGAGGTTGTTCCCCTCATTAGCAGATGAAAGGCCAGGCTCAGCCCAATGGCCACCTGCGTCAGTGCTGGCAGTCAGCACTGCCCCCAGAAAGCATTCCCAGGTCACTGCATCCATGTCAAACTTCCAGCCAATGTAACACCATCCCCAAATAGCACTTCTGGAGAGTGGTGGCCTCAGAAAGTAGGAAATGTCATGAAGTGACACCTGCTGAGAAGTGAGACTGACCAGGTTTTGTCAGCTCGCCCATCCTCGAGGAGTTGTGCCCTGCTGAAGTGGCAGGAGGCAGAACGCGCGGTGACAAGGCTGATGCGTGCAGTGCAGCACCAGAGAGCAGTAACTCGAGCGGAGCAGGACTGGCTTCGGATGGTCTGGCACTGCAGATGATTTATATTTAGAGTTAGGCTTGGCAGGTGCTTTTATGGATGTTGGGTTTTCTATTGTATTCAACCTGTCCCAAAAATAATTTAAACCATCCTGCTTTAAGCCCCGGCCAACTGTTAACTGCTGCCGCTGGAAACAGCTCGCAGCTCTGCCCTGCTCCTTTCCAGGGAGGTGGATGGAGTGAGGGCTGCTGCAGGCACAGTGCTGGCCTTGGTCAGGAACAGCCATTCTCTCTAACATGGTGTGCCTGAGAACGTGGGCTGATGGAGGGAAGCATCACAGCCTGACGGAGGATCTGACCCTGCTGGTGCCCAGCCCACCATGGAGTGTTCTCCATTCCTCGTGAGATTTTGAGTAAAGGAAATCATAAATATTTGGTCCTGCAAATGTTCCTTCTCAGTTTCGCGTAGGAGGTTGGATTTGGGCAGAGTGAGAAGGGAAATATCACCTCTCAAGCAATCGAGATGGACGCTGGGGTGGGACTTGCTCTGGCTGACCTCATGCTTGGGGAAAAAGGCAGGAAAAGTAGGGGAAAAAAAATATGAGATCGTTTAGAAGCATAGATAATGATATTTTACATTGTGCTTATTATTTAAAATCTGTTCCTGGGGCTTCTCAAAAACTGAGCAACACCAATGTTCCTGCTGATAACAGGGCAGGAAAGCACCCAAGTGATGTGACATGCAGAGGTAGGGTGTTACAGGACAGCACCCACCTTTATCCAAAGAGATGACAGAATCCGTGGCACAGCCCTGGGACGGGAGCTCTGCCTGCTGCCTTCCCTGCCACCCAGCAGAGTTTTTGAAGAAGAAGAAACCTCGATTTGTTCTCATTCTTATGGGCCACTGGCAAAGTGCAGGAGCTGCTGCCCAGCCTGGGCAGCCCCAGAAATGGGGAAACCACCCACAACAGCTCTGATCTCATAGACTTCCCAGGCTGCTTAGGCCACGGGAGTTCTGCACAGCCACATCAAGTCTTGACAAGCCTTGGCAAGGGATGATGCAGATGCTATGGCCTTGCCAAGCTCTGCCCTTGTGGGAGCAACATGTGGCCATTACCAACACTGGACCTCACAAAGCTCGCCACTGCCCGGCTCACAGCAGCATCCAGATCACCTGAAGGTGCTCTGATTGCTGAGCTGGGTTAAGGAAGAGGAAACCACTCAACCTTTGTGATCGCCCAGCTTTGTGCTGAGCCCATGTGGGCACCTCCAGCTCTGCTCCTGCAGCTCCCCTGCGGGCAGCTGGGATGGAGCTGGAGAAGCTGCCAGGCAGGTCCATGAACGCTCATTTTCAGATGTTATCTATGAGCAGGACAGCCAACCCTGCAGACCCAGTGTGCAGAAAGCAGGCTGGAGGTGAGGCACACTGCTGCCCAAGCTGGAGGGATAACAGTGCCCAGCATGGAGCCCCCAGGCTGGCTGGAAAATGCTCACAATACCTTCACAAACACGAAGGAACTGGGCTAGCTCTGTATGGGACACAACGGTTGTGGCCCCAGAGCATCCTTCATCCCGACCTCTCCTTTCCAGCTCTGGGCTGGGGGAGAAGTGCTGTCCGTGGAACAGTGTGCTGCATGCAGCCTGCCAGGTGGTGTCCAGCTGACAGCCTGTTGGCAATGCAGTGTCAGGGGGACCCCAAAATGGGTAAACTTGACTTCTCAGTTTTCTAACCAGCACACTTGCAGTGTCTGAAGGCTGCAGAACTCAGCAGCCTGGAGCAGGGGACGTGATGGAGTCGTACAGACACAAACACAGCTCTCAGCGATCGCTCACTGCAGATGTAGCACCTGCCTGGAGCAGTTTTAAAGGTATTAAACAACCTGGCAGCCTGAAATTATGTTATGGGCCCCCCCAAAAATGGCCCTCGGAGACAAAAGGTCACATTTCCCGCTCTGTGCCTGCTGCACCCACATCAAGGAGGGACTGCTGGAACCGTGCGGGCAGCTGCAAGTTGCAGAAGTGTTTCTTCTGGCTGTAAGTGGATGCTTCTCGCCCCCACGCGCCCACAAGAGCTCAACCTTTTGCACCAACAGCTTCCTGCTGGCCTCGCCGTGCTCCCACTCGCTTTGTGTTACCTGGTGCGCGGTGCTCCTGCCCGCGTTCTGATGCAGCGTCGGAGGCATCGGGAGACGTTTTGATTCCTACAGCTGGGGTGAATGGAAAAGGGCTGGGACGTTTTTGTGCTCTGAATAAAGGGGAGGGGCACCAGCTCGGCAAGGTTGAGAAACCTGGCAAAAGAAGTGTCAAAGGAGGCGGGGCGGGCTGCACCCAATGCAGAAAACAGTCCCAGCCCAAGGATCCGGGTCTGGCCCAGCTCTCTGAGCGCAGCTCGGGACCCTCCCTGTCTCCACTTTGCTGACAAAGCGGACAGGGGAGGCAGTTCCTAAAGCACAGAAAGTTTGAATTCCTCCAGCCCATTACCTCATGGCTGTAAATCTTCCACCTCTCTTTCCCAGTCACCGGTGAAGCCTGTCTATTGTCTAGGGAGCCCGGCTGTCTGCCCCAGCACAAAAGGGAAACAATCGGTGGGCTTGGGAAACGCAGGATGCACTAAAAGAGGGAAGAATAAAGCCGGGAAAGGGCCAAGGAGGGCTGGGTGGGGAGGAGATCCCCGAGAAGCAGCTCCAGCGATGGGCGTCTGGCTTCAGGAGGCACCCAGCCCTGCCTGCCTCGTGCAGGTGTTGCTCGGCTGGGGAGGGCTGGGGCTCTCAGCATGGAGGTTCTCAGAGGTGGGGATGCTGTGCCCACTGACTCTTGTGATTCAGACTGCTCTGCCCGGTTTGAGATGAGCTGACCTTCGACACAGAGGTTGAGGTGTTTGTGTGGGTGATCCAGGGAACACTTTGGGTTTTGCATACCTCCCCACCCGGGATGTGGCTGTGCTCCTTGAGGTATGGGCAGGCACCTTCCCATGATTGGGATGGTTGCTGGCAGCCTGATGCTGCACAAACCATCTTCAGGGCCACGGCCTGCAGTGCTCCGGGTCCTTTCCCTGTCCGTAAGGTGGGAGGTGGCATTTCCTCATGGCAGAAGACACGGAGCCTTCCCCAAGAGCCCAAGCTGATTTGGTGCTCCCATTCAACTCTAGCCTGATCTTTTTTATCAGCTTGTGCAGTTCAAACATGCAAAACATTTCTGGAGAAAATCGGTGGTTGTGTCATTTGCCCCCAAGTTTTGGACTCGGCTTTGGAGCATTAGTCTTCCATTGCCCCACCAGACTGAGGCACAGAGAAAGACAAAGCCCTTTTCTGTGCTGTGCCTTAGAGCATGGCATGACTCCCATGGGCCACCAGCACGTGGAACACTGGGAAGGGAATCAAGGCCACAGAGTGATGTGCTAACCCAGACTATTGTGGGGAATGATGGCTGATGGACTGATGGAGACCTCAGTCGTGTTAGCAGATTCCACAGGTGCTGTGCAGATGTTCTTCACTCCCTCACTATCTTGAGCTGCCACAAACCAAAGGCCGATGGTCCTGCGTGAACTCTGAGTGGTCCCCACCCCGCTCTGGTGGTCAGCTGGGCTGGGTCAAGCTTCCCTTGATGGATGGGGTGTGTGAAGCTGAGAGTGTGACCACAACCTCTTCGTTTGCCAGTGCCCCAGCAGAGAGCAGCACAGAGTTGGGTTCCTGTGTCCTCATCTGGCATTGCTCTTCACTTCTCAGTGCTTGAAATGTGAAGAGAAGCCTGGGCTGGAGATGGGGATTTGGCCACAGAATTAGGCAATCCGAACATGTAGACCTCTGAGCTTCTCACATGGAAACCAGCGCTGTGCCCTGAGGACAGCATGGTGACATGGGCTCAGTGGGAATGCCTTCAGCTTTTGAAACTTTGCCTCTGTTGGAGAGCTGAAGTCTTGTGCCTGCTCTGGTCCCTGCTTACAGGAGATATCCGTGCTGTCGAAATGAGCATGTCCCACGTGCCGTCATGGATGAGCCGAGGTGGTGCTCATGGGAAGGGCACAAAGCACTGCATGGGTCATGGGAGGTGCGTTGTCTTCCTTCTCGCCTTCCTTTGCACACCAGAGATGCCCATTTCTGGCCTTCAAGTGTCTTGCCTGCAGAATTATTCAAATACTCATTTATCTTAAAAGAGACGTCAGATTCTCAAGGCAACCTCTTCAGTTCCCTTCCAGCAATGGCTCTATGTTCTGAACAGATCCGACCCATCTCCAAAATTCTGACCAACCTCAGCAAACAGATTTGAAAAACATCACCCTGATTATTGCTACTCACTCCTTCAGAGGAAGCTCAGATCAAAAGCCACGTGGGTACGAGATTTGTGATATTGAGTCCCGGAGTCGGGCTGCAGGTGATGGCCCTTGGTCTTGGTTGCTGCTGGGTGACAGAGCTGGGCTTCCTGGGCACCGAGGAGCAGGTGTGGGATTTCTGAGCCAAGTTGGTGGCTGTTTGTGCTGCCAGTGCTCAGGGGAACAGGCCCCAGCGTGTGTTCTTGGTAAATAAATGAGATTACATCAAGAATACACCCAACTCCTATAATTTGCTTTTCATCTTAACAAAACCAGCCCGTCATGGCTCTGGATATTGCCTACTTGCTTGGGCAAAAGGGTTAACAATGAAGAATATTGGGTTTCTTTTGTTTGCTTTCTGAATTTTGAGCTCAGGAAATCCCTTTTTCAAATGAGAGCTTCACTTCATGTGTGAGTCCAAGAACTGTTTTGCTAAAAGCTCTAAGAAGTCTGGCACTGCCACCAGCCACCCGTGCACTGCCACCTGTGCCCTGGCAGCAACACCAGTTGGTCTTTCCAGCAGTGACCTGGGACACTGATGTCTTTGTGGGGACAACCACTGGCACTTCTTAGTGCCTGCTGAGGATGGACTTAGGAAGTGCTGGAGGCAGCCAAGGTCGGGGGAGGGGCTCTGAGCACCCAAAGGAGCTGTGGCTGTCTCTGTTCGTTGCAAGGAGGGGGATCTCATGGCCTTTGATGGTCCCTCCCAACTCAAGTGATTCTATGATTCTATGAAGTCAACACCCAGGGCTGCTGCCACGGTGCCCCAAAATTAAAGAGAGCTCTCTCAGCCAGTCTTGATACCTGATGCATCTCCCTCTTCCCTCCTCACCATCCTGCTCTCCTTCTGCCATACTGTGACATTTCTCAATGCCAGAATGCTCCTAAGGACCAACATCAATGCATGCAGTCCTGTCCTTGGTG